CCCGCTGGCCCGGCTCGAATGTGTGAACAAGGGAGCGAGAGAGAGAGGGCCCGCTGCCCCCGCCCCTCACGCCTCCATCTTGGATCTCAGCCTCGGAGCCCTCCCCCTCCCTCCGCCCGTGTTAACTCTTTTACCTCAGCTGAGGCAGCGCCCCCGGGAATCCTACGGTGCCACGGGAGATGGGTCCAGGCGGGCCGGGGCCAAGCCGGGCCGGAACGAACAGGCGGTGGTGCTGGGGGCCGCACCTCAGTAGAGCTGCAATCCTAAACCGCCATCTGGCGGCATTTCCTACCCGCCAATGGCGCAGCCGCCGCCACCGCCAACCAAACCCAGCGCGCCTCCTGCCGACCGCGTCCAAATACTACATACTGGAGCCCCGCCCGTCACAAAAGGCGCCCAAAACAGCTTTCGCGCGAAAATAGACGCGCAAGCGCAATTCTTTTCTGTCCCCAAGCACTCACCGTACACCTTTTATCTGCGCGCGCAACAACTCGACCTTTGGACGGAAGTGGTTTACGTGACACTTCTGTTCTTCCAGGGGCAGCTTTTTGTTTCGCCATTTTTTTTGTTGATTTTTGGTTAATTGACGCGCGAGCGAAAGCTTTCCCTTGTAATTTTTATGCTTTGTTGTCATTCACTAGGTCAACCGCAGAGGGAGCTATAAGCTTAATGACCTCAAAACCAGAAGATAACTTTAAATGTTGTAATGTAACTTTCAGTTCAGGAATATAAAGTGCTCATTTAAAAAGTAGTTTGCTTTTAACAAAAATAATAAAAATTTGCTTTTAACAAAAATAATAAAAATTATTAAGGAACCGCTATTAAGCTAGGAATACATTTTGGGTAAAGGTAAAATTTAGTGATGAAAAACATTTTTTTATGCTTGTAATGTACACCTTAGCTGCCTTCTGAAGGCAGCTTAGAATAAAATACCTGAAAGCCTTTTCAGCATAGCCTCTCCATGAAAAACATGTAAATAACACCTGGAAAATACTTCAATTACAATATGTAAAATCAACCAAAGAAGCGAGCTATGTAATACTGTTCCAAATATCAAAGCCCATTTCAATTAAAATAAGAAAACTATACATAGTTGGAAAAGTTTCATTTGAAAGAGATCAAATATATAATTATTCAAATAAAGCCTGTCAACAGACTTCTGAAACATTCCTTTTTCATTTTGAATATTGTCAAAAGGCTGAATAACTTTAAAAATGGAACAGACTACAGAGCTATATAATGCATCAGACACAATATTTTTAAAGTGCCCTAAGAAATGTAATAATCCAAGCCAAGATATTGTATATCATGCCCCCAGAGCATATTATATCCTGAATCTAGAAAACAATAGACTAATATTTTGACATTGATTCTGTATTTGTAGAAATGTCTGGTAATAACTGTAATTTAAAAGTTTTCAGAGAACAAGCTCAGTAAAGCATTTTAAATTATAACAGAATATTGTTAAATTTAGTGTAGACATAAACAACAAAGTGCCTGGAAATATTTAAGAAATGGGAATTTTAGGGATGAAACGTTAGAAAAGGTAGTGAATCCCATCACTATCCACAATAATCAGATGGTACATTTATTGATGATTGGAAGTCTCTTAAGACCATTTTGCAAAAATGAAAAAATGGACTTGTATGGTGTTAATGGTTAGATAGATTAGAGAAAGAAGAGTAATATAATTTTAGAAAGAGAAGTTGAAATATAAATTTCATATAGATTTGATAAATATGTACATATAACTGGTGTGAAGAATATCAAAAGCCATTTCTTTATATCTTTTTTTCTATTTTTCTTCAACCTTTTTTTCTTTTCTTGCATTTTTTGTCTTTTCTTTCTTTTTCTTTTTTACTTTTAGTTTGTGTTAGTTTTTATATTTTCCAAAAATTTTAATAAAAATTATATACACATGTGATAACATTAGGGGCAGATCACTGATATTAACAATCAACTTCAGAGCTACCTTTATCATTAGGCAAAGTGAAACAGTTTATTACACTTAAGTGTTTTTTCTTGAGAGAAAGATAGAGAGGTATTTGTGAGGATTTTTGCTTTAGAGTCAAAATTGTATGGCAAACACTTGGAAAGCAAAACATTAGTAGCAAAATGACTTAGACTAGTGATGGCAAACCTTTTAGAGACTGAGTGCTCAAACTGCAACCCAAAACCCACTTATGCATCATCGAGTGCCGGGTGGGTGTGGCCCATTGGGTGGGTGTGGTCAATTGGGTGGGCGTGGCTGCAGTGGTAACGGCAGACTGGGTGAGACTAAAAAGTTCAATCAATCAATTCCAACTTTGCAAGATCTTTTTTTTTCTGCAAGAAGTTGAAATTGGCTGATTGATTGAACTTTTTTTTTTTTTGCCCATGGCGGCAGAGGCCTAAAGCGAAAAGGTTTTATAAAACCCAGCTGAAGGCCTAGGACTGGGGCGACTGCGCATGTGCTCAGAGAGGGCTCTTGAGTACCGCCTCTGGCACCCGTGCTATAGGTTCGCCACCATTGACTTAGACTACGACTCTGGCTATCTGGATTCATTGCTTTATTCATGTCTGGTTCTTACTGAGCACATAGATTTTTTTCATGATGATCTGTTCTTAACCCACTCCTTCAGGTCTAACCCACACTCATCACCACTGTAATTCAGCCTATCCACCTTTGCTGGTCATCTTCTTTCTTTCCACCTTTCCCAGCATTAAAACCTTCTCTAGGAGCTAAGTGTTTGCATAATGTGTCTGAAGTAGGATAATTTGAGCCTGCGAATTTGAGCCTTAAATGAGAAGTCTAGGTTGATTTGTTTGATTATCCATTTGTTAGTTTTCTTGGCTGCTCACAGTATTCTCAGACATCTTCTCCAACACCAAAGCTTAAAAGCATCAATACTCTTCCTATCTTGCTTTGCCTACCCAACTATAATTGTCCATAGAATGTCATAGGGAGGACCACTGCGTGCAAAATCTTTGATCTTTGTAAGTATAGAAACATCGTGGCATGTAAGTATCTTTTTCAAGGCCTTCAAGGCTATTCTACCTAGTACTAGTCTATGAAATATTTCGTGCTTATTCCTTTATATCAGGGGTGTCATACTCCCAGCATCACGTGACGTGTCATGACATATTGTGATTTTTTTCCCCTTGCCGGAGCTGGGGTGGGCGCGTCTTCCGCTGACTAGCAGTTTGACACCCCTACTTTAGATGATTGAGCATCACCTACTTTTCTCAGAAAGTAATGGGAAACAAATGGCTGTTTTTCTGCTGCTAATGGGTATCTTCTGGATATCAGTGAACTTGCTGGATTTTCTAACAATGGCACTGATAATTGTAGTAACCTGTTACTAGATTGCTAGAAAAGACGGAATGGTATTTCCTTTCCTTCTATTGATTGTTGTTGTATATTCTGATTATGTAGATTATATATTTGTGGTTTGTAACCTGGAAATCAGATGTATTTTGAACGTGAAAGCCTCCCTGCAATTGTTTTAATGTAAACAGTAAGAAACTCATAAATCTTTAAACTCTGACCTCACTGAATCCTAGCAGGCCATCTGCAGCACTCTGAAAAAGATTTGGACCAAAATTAATTCCTGAGCACAAATGTTCAGTAATGTCTTTAAAAAGAATTAAAGCACATCTATTTACTGTATGTACAAAAAGCCACTATTTCAAAGCTTCTCTGAAAAAAAGTAGCCTCTTTTTTTGGCTGAAGGTTGAGGTGACGCTAATTCTTCCTTTATTGTAGTCTCCTGAGTAAAAATAGAAAAATGGGTGGTTGTATAGCACCATGAACTGCAACATGGAGATATTCTATTATGAGATTAAGAAATCTTCAAACAGTAGTGGCTTCAGATAGCCTTAACAACTAGTAATTTATCTGCCTTTATGCATATAAGCATCTTTATTACATTGCCTTGATGGCCTCAGTTTCTATCGAAGAAAATTATGTTGCTGACCGAGGATAATGAATTTTTAAAAAATAATTTTAAGATGTCCTTTTCAATGGGTACAACAGAATAGCATAGTGTTTAATAACAAAAGTTGGAAGAGAAATTTAACTGTTCTAAAATGTTTTAAAAATATGAAAAAATAGTCTTAAAGTATACATTTTCAAAGGTAGACATTATAAAAACCATACAAAATGAAGACCAAAATAGTAGGTTTTATTAACTAGGACAACAATAGTGATGTATGTCAAGAGGTCATATAGCAAAATGATGCTAAGGCATAAAAAAGGACTTTGCAGAATCACTACAAGTGAACACATATCACTAAACAGAAAATATTATTAACTTTTTTTATTTTTTATATTAGTGGATTTATAAGACACCCCCCCCAACTCAATATGACTGGACAGTGTACAAGAAAGAAGCTTTAACCAGAAAACAACCACGTAATCTTAAAACAGGCACAAATAAATATGAATATGAAATTCAGAATATAAATAGCGACCATAATAAAAACAGCTAAAAGGAGACTCCACTAAAGTGGTCCCAAATACTTGGTTGAAAAGCAAAGTGTTAATGGCTATCCTAAAGATGAGCAGAGTTGGAGAAAATTGTAAAGAATGCTCTAACACCGGAAGTTTTTAAGAAGAGACTGGACAGCCATTTGTCTGAAATGGTGTAGGGTTCCTGCCTGAGCAGGGGGTTGGACTCGATGATCTCCAAGGTCCCTTCCAACTTTATGATGATGATGATGATGATGATGGATCATCGCACAGTCAGCCAAATGTTCAGACTGGATTTGGCATTTTGTCTACCTATCGAGTCCTAACCCAGGACCTGGGATAGGCAGATGTGGATGTTTAACGGTATTACAGGTATCGTCGCAGGATGGAAGCAGTTCCTAGTAAGGCCGTCTTTTGCAATTGACTAATAGCGAATTTGTCAATGCCAATGGTGTTCAAGTGGTGCTCCAGTTGTTTTGGGATTGCACCCAAAGAGCCTATTACTATTGGTACTACCCTTGCTTGCTTTTGCCAGTCTTTCTATTTCTATTTGTAGATCTTTGTATTTTGTTATCTTCTCCAGTTCTTTCTCGTCTATTCTGCCGTCTCCAGGCACTGCCACATCCACTATCCAGACTTTTTGTCTTTCTTCTTATTATTATTATTAACAGAGGCAGCCACCGAAAAGGCACACTTCCCATGTCCCATAAGGTGACAAGATCTAAAAGAGGGAACTTTGAGCATGATTTCCTTTTGGGAGTGAGTGGGGCAGGCAGATATTCTTGGGAAAAAGTGGTCCCACAACTAACCAGATCCTATGCCTTGTATATTTTTAAAGGTGATAACAGAACAACCTGTTATGCAAATATGTATTATTTATTTATTTTTATCCCACCTTTATTTAATTTTAAAAGTAACTCAAGATAGCAAACATACATAATATTCCTTCCTCCTTCAAGCCTGAGAGGTGGGTTGGGCTAAGAGAGTGACTGGCTCAAAGTCACCCAGTCAGCTTTCGTGCCTAGACTGAGACTAGAATTCAGACATTCCTGTTTCCTAAGCTATCACCTCAACCACTACACCAAACTCATCCAACCAAATTATATTTTAGCCTACCAATATGTTGTGCAAACCAGCCTCTGTGGATTTTTCATTACATTAGGTGCAAAAAAGAGGTGAAACAAACAGAAAAGCAATGGGTGAAGATATGCCCCCGCTCACTCCATTAGCAATAGCTGCAAGATCCAGTTTAGATTTCCCCCCTTGTGTTAAAATCTAAGCACCTTTGTTTGCAAAGGAGGCTGGGTTTAGCCAAGATTGGTTCTAATAACAGCCCTAGATTTTTTCAGTGATTTATACAGTTGCCAGACTCAAGATTAACATGTTAGTTGTTTTATGGAAATGAAGCCATAATAACATATCTTTTCAGATTTTATTGCATTTGTTCTTGTAACTTGGTTTAATTTTATCTTGAGCTACTTTGGACACATATCAGAATTTCCAGACAAAATGCACTGACATTGAAGTTATGCAGGATCTAGATGTTTGGATGTTGTACACTGACCTAGAATTTATTCCTTTGAAGAGTGATAATCAGATTATTAGAATTGATCTGTGTGTTTCAATATAAATTTCAGGTACTTTGCATAATGAACATTGTGCAGAGGAGGACAACTGTCTATGGGAAGTACATACATTTAATTCATTTTATATTCTTTTTCTCCCTGTATGTAATTTACGGAAACTCATAGACAGTGCTGTGGTCGACTGCATCTTAAATTAAGCTGTTTTCGGCAATATTTGGTGGTAAATAGTTCCTGGGATCAACACAGGAATGCATCAATTCCTCCATATTGAGGCAAGGGCACTCTATCTATGTTCAAAGAGATATTATCATGCACTCAAACCTTCCATCCTAATAAGCAAGATACAAATTGAAGCCGTAGTTCTGGATATCAGACAAGTACCAGCCTTTTGAGGATCTTTTGCTGGAGCGAATCGGAGAACGAGGCGGCCTCTCTTATTTTTCCGAATAGCGGAGCAAACCTCAGCGGAGGCCCAGAGAGGGCGCAACCCAAGACGGAACCCCACCCTGCTTGCTCTCACGGCGGCCGTAGTGTTCAAGAGGACGCGGAGGGGGTGGGTGCGATGAGGTAGAGAATGGCCGCGCATGCGCAGTACTGAACCTAAGCGGCCGCGGTGATGGCTGCGCAGTGACGGTTGGAGCTAACGGTTGCTATTGACATTGGAGCTGGGCGTGTGGTGGATGGCTCTTGCGCGGAGGGCGGCTAGGAGCGACAAAGCCGTTAGCTCTGCGGAAGAGACGCAGGGAATCCGTGGTAATATGGACGCGCTGAAACTCTAGGCGGAGCAGCTTCCCCCGCCCCTATCAGAGCCGGGCCCAGGCCGTCGCCCTGCGCCGGGCTCGCGGATCCTGCCACCGCCCCCCGATGCGGGGCCTCCCCTCCGCCTGAGGCGCCCGGGGAGGGCGAGGGAGCAAGGCCGGCATGGCCGGCCGCCTGGAATAATCCGTGGACGGCCGCCGCTGGTAGCAAGGAAGAGCTGCGGCGGTGGCAGTGGCGGGGGCGGGGGGAGCAAGCAAGTGGAGAAAAGCAGGCCCGGCCCTGGCTGTGACGGCGCGTCGATGCGGGGCTAGGAGCGCAGCCGCCCCTCGGCTTGCCCTGCCTGGGCGCGGAGCCGCGCTTTCTTCTCAGCCCGGAGCCGTTGGCCTCAGCGTCTGCGATGAACCCGGTGAATGCTACAGCCTTGTACATCTCCGCCAGTCGCCTGGTACTCAGCTACGGCCCCGGGGAAGATCCGCAGTGCCTGGCCGAGATCGGCAAGCTGCTGCCCTACTTCCGGCAGTCGCTCTCCTGCTGCGTGTGCGGTGAGTGAGGCGCTTTCTATTGTTCTGGGCCGCGGGCGAGCCGGCACTCTCCTTCGCCCTCCCTCCCTCCTTGTCTCCGTCAGTCCGTCTGTCTAGTTCGCTCTCGCCTCCCCTGTTACACCCACTGAAATGGGCAGGGAGCAATGCCGCCTTCTTTTAGGGCGATCCTCGTCAGCCGAGAGACGCCTGCCCTCAGTCCTGTAGGGAGTTTTGAAAGTTGCCCTCTCTTTTGTCGGTTTTTAGAAATTGCTTCGCAACTAAACAGCTTTCCCTTTGAGAAGATTTTGTAAATGGAAACTGGTCTGGATTTTCACGATATAATAAAACAAAACTACATGCTAACATTTTTGTGCTAGGCAAACTCAGCCCGTGTACTTATAGTGTGTTTCGTGTTAATTCCTAAAAATAGGTTAATCGAATAAATTGTGGTTAACTTATGTATGGATATATATGTGCGAATACATCCATTACTTACAAACCAAGCAAAGATTTGAGCAACAATTTAAAAATATACAACTGAAATATTATTTAAGTTCTTCGGTATAAATGGTTTCTGAAATCATTCAGACTAGGTAACCTTTTCATAAACCTTCAAAATTGGGCTGTATGCTTAATTTAAAGACTTTTTTTGCTGTTCTACAAGAGAACTTAAACGTTGATGCATTTTTGATGTCTTCCTTGCATTTGTAACATAACGTACGTATCTTAATTACAAATAAATATGTTGTATGTGACTTCTATGTATGATGTTAAATCTAGAATATGAAGTAGAACAACAGATTAGGAACCCTAATGTTCAGAAAATTATTTCAACTTTGTAACAATCTATATTGAATTGTAAGTGGCAGGTATCTAACTTCAAACAGAAAGAGTGATATAAATGAGTAAATCAGAGTTTAAGCCCTGGTACTTAATTTTATACATTGAAAGATGTTTAATGTTGTATGACTTTGGTTTTTTTTTTCCTGTATACTGCCCAGATTCACATTGTTTGAATTACAGCCCTATATAAATTCATTAAATATTCGTGGTAATTTGAGTATGAGGTTTTGTTCATAGTAGATGTTTTCATTCATTTAAAATGCAGATTATTTGCACTATCACTAAAAATATTTATGTAAACTTCAACGTCAAGACCTTTGTGCTGTCAGTATCGCAACTTTATGAAGAGTCTGTGATATTAGTACATTGCTTCTAAGCCATGTGTAGAGTAACACTTCATAATTTTTGTGAAATAGATGTGAATCCACACTGCCTCCCCCAACCCATATGATATTTTTTAGGTGTTATAAGGTTTTGTGCCTCTTTAGCATAATTCAAGAATTAAAATATTATGGCCAGTCATATCTTATATGAGAACCAGTTTGCTATGTTGGTTAAAGTCTGGCAGAGTTCTAGTGCAGTGGTTCTCAACCTTTCTAATGCCCCATAATACAGTTCCCCATGTTGTGGTGACCCCCAAGTGGGTGTGGCCACCAATAAGAGGGAGTAGGACAGCTAGGGAAAAGGGAACAAAATGGTGGACAGCATGGTTTGGCGACCCCCATGAAATGGTCGTTCGACCCCAAATGGGGTCCCGACCCACAGGTTGAGAACCACTGTTCTAGTGCTTCCTAAGCACAAGTTCATCAGGATGGCCTTGGGCCAGTCTTTCTCTCTCTGATTCCTAGGCAGAAAGCAGTGGCAAATCATATCCAAAAATGTTTCCAAGAGAACTGTAGGGGCTTTTCCAGCAAGTCACCAGGAGTTAAGACTAACTTGAAGGCATTTCTGTATTTCCTTTATTTGTTGCTGTAAACTGCTTGAAATCCCTGTGATTGGACAGTAAACAAATCTTAGTTACAATAATATAAAACTGAACATTCTAGATGTTACTTATAAGGAATTTTATGTAAGTGAATATAATAATATTAGGACATAATACATAGTGTAAAAAAGAATAAGGTCATCCTAGTACTTAGATAGCAAAAGAAAAGAAAACTTCCACAGACATTTTAGAGTATTGAGACTGTTATAAAGATTGCAGAATGTAAACATGAAATTCTATTGAACAGTGAAAAGTTGTAACATTTTCTTTAATTTACGTTAATGTGTCATTTTGTGTCATGGCTATTACATTTTAAAATTAGCAATATTGAATTAATTATTGAAGTAAAATGCAAAATAACTTGCTTTCAGGTTGAACTCAAAGTGGTGGTAATGACTTATGAAGCTGTACATTGTAAGGGGCCAGATTATTTGAGAGACCACCTCTCCCCTCTTACATCTAGTTATCCAATTGAGGCTGGAAAAAGAGCCTTTATTATTGCAGTTCCTATGGTTTGAAACAACATTTTCCCCCCACACACAAATTATACAGGTAGTCCTCAACTTACAACAGTTCATTTAGTGACCATTCAACGTTACAATGGCATTAAAAATGATTTATGACTGTTTTTCACACTTGCAGCCATTGCAACATCCCCATGATCACATGATCAAAATTCAGATGCTTGGCAACTGACTCATATTTATGACAGTTGCAGTGTTCCCAGGTCATGTGATCACTTTTTGTGACCTTCAGACAATAAAAGTCAATGAGGAAGCCAGATTCACTTAACTATGTTGCTAACTTAATAGCAATGTCATTGTAAAATGGGACAAAACTTTTTGCTTAGCAACAGAAATTTTGGCTCAATTGTGGTTGTAAGTTGAAGGCTACCTATAGTGGCCCTGACCCTGCTTGCCTTTCAGAAGGCTCTCAGAACATACTTTGTCATACTGACAGGAGATCCAATGGTGATAGAATGGAGCCTCTTTGCTGATTGTATTGTCAATCATTGTATGGATTGTATTCTATTACAAATAACGTTTTAATTGGTTTTTAGAAGGTTTATCTGGGTTGTTTATTTCTAATATATTCTGTTTTTATGAGTCACGTATTTGAGATGGTCAGCTATATAAACTGAATGAATGAATAAATAATGTAAATTCTCCATTGCTTTTTATATATATTGGATTTTCAATTTCTATCACCTTTTTGAATTCCTGTTTTTAAAAGAAATATCAGTTATGTTGAAAGAGACAATTTAACTTTTATTTTGCTTTTTTTAAAAAACAACAACAACCACCAGCAACCCTTTCATTTGAGTGTCACAGCCATTTTTTACTATAGAAGTGCCTCATAGCAGCTTGGCATCTCTGATAGAGATCCTTAGTTTTGCTTAGTCCTGATTTTCCCCAATCTCTCTTGTAATAGAATAATATAAGATTCCCCTTTAAAATCAGTTATAAATGAAACAAACCATCACTTTTAGCAGATCTGTAGTAAGCAGATTGCTAATATAGTGGATAAAATTTCCATTTGGGCATTACCTCAAAATAAAGTCTGTTGTATGTGAAATAATCCAGATGGTTTGTATAAATTGTCTTCTGTTATTTGCATCAATTTTTTATTATTTGTATAATTGATGCAAATACCTACATTTTGGACTGCATTAATATTTACTTACACTCCATCTCCCTGAATGGCCATTAAGCTGAGATTTACTGTATAAAAAATAATTGTTCATTTGCTTTTCTTTTTTTTTTTTAGTGCCCATAATTGTTTTTGAGGTTGGTTTGTGGATCAACGTATTCTGCAAACCTGGACAATTTAAGAAACTCTGATTATACAAAATGTTAGCCCATTTTTTTAAACACAGTCAATATACCACTTTAGCTCTAACAGGTGTCTCTATTCATAGAATGTCCTTGAACCTTAAGCAGATGTGATAGTAAAAGGGCAAGAAAAGTCTTGTATATAAAGGTAGCTTTTGAGTTAGCAAGCTAACCAAAATCCTAATGTGCTTATTTTTGACAGTTACTGACATTCTTTTCTTATAACCTTATATAGAAAGCAGATTTTAGAAAGCAGCATCTTTCATTCTAGAAGTCAAACTCTTACTGTCTTCTTAGAACAATTTTTATTTGCATATAATTGCATTCTTGCATATTAGCCCATATAAACTTCAATTTGAGGTCATGAGTTTTCTGATCAATGTAAGGCACGGGTGTCAAACTCGATCACATCACATGATGAATCATGGCGTATTGCCATGTTTTTTGCATTTACGGAGCTGGGGTGGGTGTGACCTGCACATGACACATCCGGCGCCAGTTTGACACCCCCTGATGTAAGGTCTTCAGCCTACTGTAAAGTCAGTAGAGTTCAATGCTTTGGTTAAATTATTTGCAGTGATGGTTAGAGCCTTCTATTTTATGATTCTTAGAAAAAAAGTTAAGATGTAAAGACTGTATTGCACAATACTTTTACAAAAAAACCTTCAATGTATTTTTTGATTTCTGTAAGTATAACTGCTCAAGCTCAATTTAGATCTTAGATTTTATATTCTTGACAAGCTGAGGAATTTCTAGGGAGCTTATTGCATTGAACACAGTAGCATTTAGAATTGTGTTAGTGTTAATGACCCAAAACATTGTTATTTCATCAGCTCAGATTCATACTCACGCTTCAGTCAGTCTGTGTTGCTTGTTTGTTGCTTGCTTCTGCCACAACAGTTCTGCACTCCAGCTCTTCTTCTTCTCCAACTTTTTTCTGCTGCTCCCAACAATTGAGGACAGATTTCTTAATAAAAATAAGAGAAAATATAAAGTAAATATTGCTTAAATTCATGCATTAGCAAATATTCTTGATACTTTTAAAAGTTTGCCTTAGAATTTATATCAATTGTAATTTTAGTTGCCTCTTTAGGAAAAGTGTAAATGTTTCTTTTTGAATTCAGGGAGAAGGGGAAAAAGGTGAATCTCCTTTATTAAATATTGAGATTGTTTAATTTAAAGAGGGAAGATTGTAATATTTCAATATTCTGGTTATAATAAAATTTCATAGCTCAAAAAGAGGCTTTACTGTGGCACTACCATCCTTCCTATTCTTTTGATCTCCCACCTGATAGTAACAAAGAAGGTGTTAGTCATATATAGTATCATTATGGTTTCATATGTTGAATATATTATTGCTGCTACTGATTTTACCTCAAAGGTTCTGCTATTTTCATTTGATTTTATATATTATATGTTTATTCTATAAAATATCCAAAGAATTGTGGCTAATAATTATATGGGTATGCATGTTCATCTTCCTTGTTCATTTCTTGGCAATACTTACACAACAACTGAATTAAATGAGAAAAAATTAAGTGTTGCAGTACTGTTGATTCTGACTAATACAGGATTTAGACTAAAGCCTATACTTTGAGTTGGGCTAGTAGTGGTTACTGTGGTCTATATTTGTGTTGTCATTTCTTGTTTTTTTTTAGGGTTTTTATGCTGATTTTAGCTATTAGCCACTGAGAATTCTGAATTTGAGATGTGCAGCCTTTGAATTGAAATAAATAAACAAGCAAATAAATTATATTTTATTTGAGCAGAATCTGTGGGGGAAAAGACCAATACCAGCAGTATGAACTGCTAATGGCTGTGTACCTTACTAAGGCCAGGTTGGTCATGCCACTCTAGTTTATTTTGGGGAAGAAAAACTGCCATTCTTGTATTGCTGTAGCTCCGCTTTGTAAAGGATCGAAGGAAGAAGCTACTCTGTTAGTGCTCGTTTTTTATATTAAATTGTGCATATGCAAGGCTGTTCTACAGGTAGTCCTCGACTTACAACAGTTCATTTAGTGACCATTCAAAGTTACAACGGCACTGAAAAATGTGACTTATGACCATTTTTCACACTTATGACCATTGCAGCATCCCCATGGCCACGTGATTTACATTCGAATGCTTGACAACTGATTCATATTTATGACGGTTGCAGTGTCCCGGAGTCATGTGATCACCTTTTGTGATCAATGGGGAAACCAGATTCAGTTAACAACAGTTAACAATTTAACAATTGCAGTGATTCACTTAACAAATGCGGCAAGAAAAGTTGTAAAATGGGGCAAAACTCACAACAAATTTCTCACTTAGCAACATAAATTCTGGGCTCAATTGTGGTCATACATCGAGGACTCCCTGTAGTTTATTACTGTTGTGAGAAGCAGTTGTTCAGTCTAATGTTCTTCATAGGATTGTGAAGGAAAATGAGAGCAGGAGAGCTGCACAGGTAGTCCTTGACTTACAATCATAAAAGGATTAATTTAGATTAGATAAGCATAAGGATTAATAAGAATTATGGTTGTAAATTGAGTCATGTGACTGATTTGGTTTTACAGCAGTCATAAAGCAAACCCATTATTTGCAATGGGTGTTTTTTTGCCAGAAATTGGAAATAAGCACTGATTTCTGGCAAAAAATCTAAATTAATCATGTGCCCTCGGGATGCTGCAAACAACTGTAAATGCAGTCCAGTTGCCAAGTGCCCAAAATGCAATCATGTGACTGGGGGGCAGACACCAGAACTTCAAATCTAGGTCATAAGTACCTTTTTGGGGTATATTGTAATTTCAAATGGTCACTAAGCAACTGGTTATTAAGCAAGGACTAATATGCCTCCTTAAGCTCATAAATGAAAATTGGAATATACTGTAAATCTAATAAATTATTCATAAACAGATAACAGATAAATACTCTAATGAATATGTAATGATTGAATAAAGGATATATTGGTGTGCTTCTCTAAACTCATCTATTTTTATTAATAATACTCAGTATTTTAATAACAGTTTACACTGAATAAAATCTAAAAGGAGAGGCTATTACACTGCAAGTTATTAAATCAAAAAGCTCATAAAGTTCCTTTGGTACCTAAGATGCATGGAAATATGGATGCAGTTGGAGCTTAACCTTTATAAACTCAAGAATGACATTTGTTAACTGTCCAACTTGAGTTATAAATCAGCAATATTATTAATCAAAATTCAAATTTGTACAGCTGCCCATCTAAAGCAACTCTGGGCGTTGTACAACAATTAAACAAACAACAGATAATAAATATAAAAATAAATATTATAAAAACAATATAAAAACCCTGGGGAGAGAAATGATAAGAATGTCCACCTCAACAATCCAGCTATGTAAGAATGTCTCTAGTTCTCTGGGAGTCCCAGGCCTGATAACATAACCAGGTTTTGTGGGACTGCTGAAACATCCAAAGGGATGGAACTAATCTGATTTCAGCAGGAAGCAATAGTTCCTTATGTCCTCCTCTGATAAGTCTAAAAACCAATACAAATATTTTCATTCTTTACCAGGTTATGAATCTATAACTTCAGAGCACAACTTTAAGAAAAATGCCTTAGTAATTACCAATTTTGTGTAATGAGGAAGGGAGAGAGCATTAACAAATATAATATATCCTTAGTGTAGGGGAAAATTTCTACACACCAATAGAAAGATGGATTATCTATTACATGAAATGTTTAATTGCAATCACTGCAGATAGAGGTGGCACACTCTTTTTTTACTAAATCCAAGGGAGTAATTACCTTTTCACATTGGCATATCACATGTTGGAAAACTTTGTCACTGGGGCATTATTCAGAGGATCCACATGAAGTTCTAATAATGTTCAGTGGTAAAAATATGCAAGAATTTAGAACAAGCAAAAGTTCTTACTTGCTAACTTTAAAAATATGTTAAAGCTTTTCTCTAAGATCTAACTAAATGTTGTATTTACATGAGGTTTCCCTATGGATAATCAGAAGACTTCCTACCAATAGCTGTTAAAAACTGTGGGTAGAACATGTTTACATTTTAAGTGAAGCTACTGACTATTGCTCATCATTTCTCTTATTATTAGTTGCCTTTTGAGTAGGGTCAATGAAACATGTTCTCTGCGAGATAAGTGAGATAACAATAATTTATTCCCCCGCTATTTTCAGCATTGGGGATTCTCTGTGTCCAAAATGGGCATAGATAATGGCTCAGTAGTTAAGTAGTATGTGCAATGCATAGCCAGTTTCTCTGTTTCTGCTTTATACTTTATATCGGAAGTATTGGAAGGCTCCGTAGGAATATTAATATTTTAAATATATGTGTGCACATGCATAGCCACCCTTCCACACATATATACAATTTGGCCATCTTTTAAATGTTATAGTATAGAATACATACTTTTGCTCTCTTGGTGGTTAGTGTTTATTGACAAATGTTTTGCTTCTGTTTCTTTGATCAAATTTGTGTATTCTTCCCAATTCCTTATAATTAGAAATATTATAAATGATGTCTTCAAAATTCATACTTCACTAAAACGGAATTATGTCACATGCCTATTTAGTATTTATTTATTAAACTTAATATAAGATTTTAATCATTTTTTAAAAAAGTTTAAACTAAGGTTTATATCACATAATTAATCAGAAAACTTATTGGGAGAGTCTTGTATCATTCAATCTAGAACAATCAAATGTCATTATGGAACTGTAGAAATTCTTGTATCTTGCTCTAATATTGAAAATACTGGAGCATTGACAATGAAGTTGAAAGTATGTGCTGTCATAGGTTGATGATACGCCAAATGTTGCTATTAGCTTGATCAGCTAAAACATACAGCAGTGGCATTACACAGACTTTCTAGTTGTTGAAAAACAATTTTTAAATTACTCTTGAGTTTTTATAATCTCCTTTTTTTTTCCTTTTAGGAAATCTGCTACAAGATCCAATTGCACCCACCAACTCTACATGTCAACATTATGTCTGCAAAACCTGTAAAGGCAAGAAGATGATGATGAAACCATCATGTAGTTGGTGCAAAGACTATGAGCAGTTTGAAGAAAATAAACAGTTAAGCATTCTGGTGAACTGTTATAAAAAACTATGTGAGTACATAACACAAACGCCATTAGGACGAGATATTAAGCAAGCTGTTGACAGTTCCCCAGATCTTTTGACTTTGCTTAAAGATGGCACCCCACTCAGTGTTGACACAGAAAAAGCATCTGATGAAGCCTTGGCAATGTGTTTGATCCGTTCCCCTTCACCTTCAACTTCAGAGTATGCTAATGAGCCTCCAACAAGTTGTTCTATACCTGAAAGCACCTATGACTGTGATGTAAAAGGCTCCACTGTTAATGGTCTGCCCAGTTGTAATGGGCTCTCAGTAGATAAACTTGGAGTAAATATTCCATCTCCCGAACATGCAAATACAGTCAGTATATGTAATCCTGGACAATACATAAAAACTGAAGATATTTCTAGCAGTCTTCAGCCTATGTGTGACATAGTTTCCCCTGGTGACTTGTGTGCAACCGGCATTGATATTCATGGTTTCAGTGAAGACATCAAACCTGGTGACCCTCTTTTACTTAGTGTTGAGGAAGTGCTACGGAGTTTGGACTCCAATGCAGGAGTATGTAGCCCTAATCTACAGCACAGCTTGGAAAGCAATTTAACAAATGGCCCATTTTTGCAGCTTTCTCCCCCACCAACTAGCCACAATGTGTATATATCAATGGATGCTTCACCTCATGGGATTTCATGTACAGCTGCAACACCTAAGGTAGCAAAATTAAACAGAAAGCGATCACGATCAGAAAGTGACAGTGAAAAGCTTCAGCATATTCCAATTTCTAGCATTCTTTGTGGCCCAACATTGGGGGCCTCAGCTCCAGTAATGATGAAGCAGGAATCAAAGATGTCTTTGCAGTCAATAGCAGCTGTACCTAATGGAGGTACTGCTCCTAAAATAGGTAAAACTGTACTACTATCAAATAAAAGCATGAAAAAAAATACAGACCATACCACCAAGAAATCTCATCCAAAATCTAAATCAGGAATGCTAAAAAAGTCAAAAGAAAAAAATCCTAGCAGTCATGTTGTGCCAGGAAGTCCAACAAAAACTGTGTACAAAAAGGCACAAGAGAAAAAGGGGTGCAAGTGTGGCCGAGCTACACAAAATCCAAGTGTTCTTACGTGTCGTGGCCAGCGCTGCCCTTGCTACTCAAATCGCAAAGCCTGTTTAGACTGCATATGTCGTGGCTGCCAAAATTCATATATGGCTAATGGGGAAAAGAAATTGGAGGCATTTGCAGTGCCAGAAAAAGCTTTGGAGCAGACTAGGCTTACTTTGGGCATTAATGTGACCAGCATTGCGGTGCGCAATGCCAGCACAAGTACCAGTGTAATTAATATGACAGGGTCACCGGTAACGACATTTTTAGCTGCCAGTACAAACGATGATAAGATCTTGGATGAAGCTATGGACATGAGATACGACTGCTGAGTCTTTCTTTCTCCCCTCGTTTGGTAAGGGGACTGCTACAATTTGAAGGCAGCTATGGTTCTCTTTAACTTGCCGTAGCTCCTGCATATAGATCACTTGTATCAAGTGTTTTCATTGCTATGTTGTGTGTTAGTGTCAGGGAAATAGTTTGCTGGTAATTGCGGAATTATCCCAAAACAGTCTTTAGTTCTTACAACATCTCATAGTTTGAGATCAAATCCTAATGTAAATGATTTTTAATACAGAACTACTTTTTTGGCATATACTGACCTTGTTGTACCAATTCATGCTTTGTGCTTAATCAGAAATTGATTTAATATACTGAAATTATTTCTAGTCAGTCCATCACAGTTGTGCTAATACATGATGTATCCACGTTCAGTATCATCATTGCAAGAAAAATGACATGCTAAACTAATAAAAACTTCAACAGCCAATCTTGTAATACCACATTATTTGTGGATAGGGAAGTTAATAATTCAGCACCTAAACTTTGTTCAGAAATAAAAGATATTACTATAATTGTCCAGCTACTGTATGCTGACCTGAAACCAAGAAATGATCATACTGGACTTTAGCTTCAGTTGATATCACTCAAGACGTTCAAAAGCTTGATCATCTTTTGGAAAAGAAAAAGTTGTTCCTGTTTTTTAATTTCACACTTTTTTTTACAGATTGATGTCATTAATCTGTGTCATGCTATGTCATAAACTTAACATTCATCATTGGATATTTTTGCTGAGTTCATTATGAAATAGATACTGTATTTTTTTAACTCTGTTATGCTAGTTGGCTAAAAAATAAAAATGGTTTAAGTCTTATGCCAAAGTTATTGAGACATCATTATATTTTAGATTTTAAAATCTGACAGCTATTAGCACATTCTTGCAGTTTAAGGCATATAACACTGTCAAAACATAGTTTTCACTTGAAATTACCGTATCTGTTCCAAGATTAGATTAAATCCTACAATGCAAGAGTAGAATGTGTCAAGAATGGAGGTTTTCTTAATTGATATCCTTAAAGAGCTGATATAAAACCTGCTGATTAAGTATGATTTTGAAATTAATTCTAAGTTATACCATTGGAAAAGTCAATCCACATTGAAAATATGTTAATTCGTATCAATTTTACAAATTACGATTGGTGTTTAATACTTCTTTATTTTATTTTGCATAAAGTATGGGCTGACTAGAACAGAAAATATTGGGTTGTATCCAATTAAACCTCTTCCTTACAACCCTATGGAGGGAGGAAAGACTGTCGGACAGGAAATGTCCTATTGTACAAGTCAAAGGTTTCTTTTGCAACACTGGATTTTGCCCTTTTTGTTATCTTGTTTTATAGAGGACTATGTTCTGATTTACAGCAATATTTCAGCAGCTGTTATAAAAAGACATTATACCATAGATTCTTAAACTCCTTTATGTTTGCCATCTAATTGTTAACTGATTAATATTGCTAATGAACTGTAACATTAGATTTGGCACAAAGCATGTACAATGATGGTTACTAGGTCTAAAAATAAGACAAAAGTTTTGGATACTGGTTGGGTGATGTCTCCTTTTTCTTCTATAGTGTACCAAGTGTCATTTTATGTCAATGTGAGCAAATAATTATTTTGTTGACTTCCAGATTTGTTTCCCCCCCCCTGTCTTTTCTGTGGGTGGGGCAGGGTGTGGGGGGAGGGTTAAAGCCATAGGAAGAAGAATGTGATGTAAGTGTTCAGTATGTTTTTTTGTTTCTGTTTTGCAAGAAGAGTTGAAAAATATTTTTGATAATGAGAGTAAATGGTGGAAAATGCTCTTTAGTATTCCTGTCTTTTTTTGCAGCTAACCTCTTGAATTTTACATTTAACTTGGTAATTTAATGTGTCCTATTAAAATATATCAGTTGAATATGAATATGATTTTTATGCGGACCAAATGGGATGTCCCATTTTTGAATCTTAACTTTCTAAAGCAAAACTTTTTTTTTTTCAGCATCTTAAGAAGGCTAATCAAAGCAGAAGTCTTGAAATTTATCCTAACATACATGGTGCAATGGAAAGCTAATAGAAGTAGTCATTAAACTTTTTCTTTCTTTCTAAACGTTTCTGATAGTTCAGTTATGAAATTCTACTGTGTAATAAATACGCCTGTTCTCCATATTTTGGTATTTTTCAGACATTGAATAGCATTTTGTTAGCTGATTATTTCAATATTCCTTGGAATTGTTTATTTGTTATTCTGTATCTTTGACAGTTAATTCAAGTTTGTTTTAATGATACAAGTTTTCTTCTTCACTGCCATAGAAGCTGAGGTAATAAATGTCAGTCCTAAAACTGAATTTTGTAAAACAATGTAAAATATTTAGTGCTCAGAATACTTTTTTAAAGATATCAGTGCTCAATTTAATGAAATAATTGTACAACTTTTACCATGCTAACCACAAAAGGTTATCAAAAGTAGTAGTTTTGAATCCCTATATTCTAACAACTTTTCTTTGTTGTTTTGGTTACTATAAAACATAATTTTAGGGAAGGAAATTACATCAGTGCTTTTTGCATTCTCTAATCTTCCTCCATTGTTGCCTCTTAGTCTGATTGAATGAAAATATATTTTACGCTTTACTAGAAAAAAGGAAATTTTTTGCAACCTTTGCTAAATCTAGCTGTTGCTATAACTGCTTCATACACAATTTTCTTTCAGAACCAAGTTTTTAATAGAAAAATGTATTGCCCATATGTTTGTCACATAGTCACTGTTTTGAGCATTCACAGAACAATAACAAAATTGCACTAAAACTGAAAAATAAATGTGGAAAAATAACTTGCATATTTAAGTTCTGTTGATTGTTAATTGAAAATAGTGATTCCACAAATTCTGGATTCAAATGCCAGTACATATTTGTAAGATCCATAAGTAGAGTTTCATTGGAAATTGAACAAATTACAGTGAGGAAGGGACACTAGAATGTTTTTCTCTGGAATCCTGCTTTGTAAACATTGTTTTATTTTTCCAAAAGGGAAGGAAACTTATATAATTTAAGTTATGTAACTTAGATTTGTAGTTTGAATGGATGAATGTTTCAGTTGTATGGTCTAGTCTCCTTCACTGCAAAGGTTCTAGATTTTTTTTTTTTAAACCTAGTGGCATGCAGTGGTCCCTGCCTTTGCTTCTTGGGATGATCTGGTATTAATGTAGTTCTTATTGTTTAAATGTTGCGAAGAATGGGTATGTGGTTGGTATTGCTTTCTAAAACATCATGGTTTAGATTCTGATGTATTTCTTTCTAAATGCAACTTCAGTACCTCTTCAATGATATGGCTGAAGTCATTGGTTTTCTTTAAAGATTGCTGTAGGACTACCATTTCTAAGGAAAACAGTAGATGATAAATTAAATAAAAATGTTATTGTCTTTTCTTATGATGTAATGCTGAATGGTGTATAAATCTTGCCCAGATGATACTTATTTAAACTGAACTGCAGGGCAGATCACACTTCCAATATGTTTGGCTTGTTAAAGACAATAACAGATGAATCAGTTGTACAACATTTTGAGTGCTCTTATTGTGCAGCATAATTCTATTTTATAATCTTTTAAAATCATTTCATATACATATTAAATAGCAAGCTGTAGTGTTCCCAACATAAATATTGCAAAATATATGATTCTTGTACAACAGTTACTAAAACAGCTTGTATAAATGTTTAGGGAAAAATACAAGAGAGATACATACCTTATAACTTTACAGATGTTCAAAAGGAGAATAAGTGGCCTTGGATCTTTTTCTAGCTGCTGTATTTATTATTGCATTGATTGAAAGCTCAAACAAATGGGAAGGGTTTGCAAACTTTTTTTCTTATTAATTTTACAGCTATTGCTGTTAACCACCACTTATAATTCTTGAGATTAATAGATCAAACTAACTGATCTGGTATCTTGGACATGAATTCTAATTTTAGCAAGAAAACCCCAAGAACTCTTTGTCTAAAGTAAGATGGGAAAAACCATAAAATCATAAAGTTGGAAGGAACAATTTAATCTATGAACAGTCGACCTCCTTCTGACCTCCTGTTTGTATTGGAATCCAAATCCAAGTATTGTACCATGTGGTTATCCAGCTGTCTTTCAAAACATCCTGTGAATGGGAGTTAATCGCTGCTTTTGGTAAGTGGTTCATTGTCAAATTGATATTATTGTTAGGAAGAACTAACATTCATTTGAAATATTACTTCCAGTTCTCAACCTATTTCTGTATGACACTTTCAGTTATTTGAAAACTGCTATTATGTCTCAACCTACTCATATTTTTTGTGGACTAATAATCAGTTTCTTCAGACACTCTTTGTTAGACTTAATTTCTAGAACATTCTTGTTGCCTATACAGGTAGTCCATGACTTAGAACCATTTGTTTAGCGACTGAAATTACAACGGCACTGAAAAAAGTAACTTATAACCAGTTGTCATACTTAACAACCATTGCAGCATCCCCGTGGTCACATGATGAAAATTTAGGTACATGGCAACTGGCATGTATTTAGGATAACTGCACTGTTCCTGGGTCATGTAATCACCATTTGTAATCTTTCCAGCCAGCTTCCAACAAGCAAAGTCAATGAGGGAAGTCTGATTCGCTTAACGACCACATGATTCACTTAACAACTTTGGCAAAAAGTTATAAAATGGGGCAAACTCCCTTAACAATTATCTTGCTTAGCAAAATAAACGTGGTTATAAGTCGAAGACTACCTGAACCTTTCTTAAAATATGTTTAATGAGTTGAATTGAACTTAATATTTGAAATAGTGTTTAACCAATACTAAATATATTCTATTGGGAAATAATATTTTTCCTGCTACAGACTGTTTTACATTTTCGTTTTTAGCAATGATACCACACTGTCAACTCAAGTTCAGTTTATGAATCAGTTTATTATTCCCAATATTCTTTTTACATGTGCTAAACACAGATACACCTATCTTATATTAATATATATTATTTCTTTTCCCCATGTTCATAATATTTGGGGGGGGGGTTTCCTATATTTTCCATAGTTTTTCCAATCTATCAAGATTATAGAACAGTGCACCTTCTCTGACTTTTTTCAATAATTTAGCCTAATGAGCATGTTAGAGTCATCTGAAAATGAGTGGCTAATTCAAGAAATAAATTCAAGCCTTGTATTAAGTATATATAGGTCAGTGAATTAAGAGTACTGACAAAGTGAGGGGGGAAAACAACACATTTGGCAAAGTTGTGGTTGCTTCGGTACCACTGGGCTTCTGACTACACTAAGCAGAAACATGTCCATTGTGCAGCACAAGGGAAGATGGGAGGGGTGTATATTGGTCCTATTTCCTGCCTCTCTCTGGCCCCTGCGTTTAACCTGTTGGCATCAAGGCTAGATGTGTGAGCAACATTTAGCTGCTTTGGACCAGAGCCCAAAATTTATATCTCTGGTGGGCAACAAGAGAAGGACAAGGGAGCAACGTGGATGCCTGCTGGTGAGTAGGGCTGGTTGGGGGGTGCCAGTGATGAGGGGGCGAGCCTTCTTTCTCCCTGGAGGAGGGGCTCTTGGGGACACACTGGGATGGAGACTGGGGAAGCAGTTTTCCTTGCAGTCCAGTTACCTTTGTTCCCCCTTCCCACCCAGCAAAGTGGCAGTCAGTTCTGCAGGTCAGCTGATGTGGATGAGTGATTTCCAATACTCCCTGCCAGCTTCCCAAATGAAAAACCAATGGAAAAGCTGGCAGAAAGATAGGTGTTCCTCCTGCTCCCACTGCTATACCCATTCAGCTGGTGGCAAGGCCCAACAGGTAAGTGGCAATTGGATACTTTGAAACTGAGGTTAAAAACTAAAATCTCTTAATAGCAATGTGTGGTGAGGAAAGGACAAGGGAGTGACTTGGATGTCTGCTGGCAAGGTAAGGCTAGCTGGGGAGCACTGGCAGTTCATGTGTGAATCCTCTTCCTCCATGGAGGGAGTAGGTTCTTGGGACACACTGGGATGGGGAGTGAGATGCAGTTTTCCTTGCAGTCTGCAGCTCTTTGTTCCTCTCTTCCTTTCAGCAAAGAGGCAGGCAGTCCTGTCGGTCAGACAAGGAGAGGAAGCCAAGGAGAGGAAGAGTGATTTCTGACACTCCCTGCTAACTTTCCACAAGCAGCATCAAAGGGAAAGTCAGTTGGAAGTTGGTCCCACACACATTTTTTTTTTGCTCATCCGTTGATCATTCCATTGTTTCCCCCCAGCAAAGTGGAAGGCAGTTCCACAGGTCAGTTGAGGAGTGATTTCTGGCACTTCTTGCCAGCTTTCCACAAGCAAAATCAATGGGGAAACTGGAAGGAACTTCCCCCGCTGCCACTGCTCATCCAATCAACTGGCAGTAAGGCCTGATGGATGAGCAGCATTTGGTTGCTTTAGAACAGAGGCTGAACTCTGAAATCTCTTTAATGGCAGTGGGTAACTAGAGAAGGATGAAGGAGCAACTCAAATGCCTACTGGCGAGGTAGATAGCTAGGGGTTGCCGATGGTCAGTGGCTGAACCCTCTTTCTCCCTGGAGAGAGTAACCTCTTGGGGTATTCCAGGATGAGTGTGGGTGCAGTTTTCCTCACAAGTGTCATTCTCTCTCCAACTGCTCCCCCCCCCCCCACACACACACTGATGGTCATTTTGTTTCTTCGTTTAGATAAGGAAATATCTCTGATATTTAGATACTCCCCTCTATCAAATGTTGTAGATTTTTATTCAACTGATTCAAAATGGTAGTATATTCTGTCAACATATATTACAACCTTTTTCATTTCTCTTCAGAAATATATCCAGTTCAATGAGAATTAGTTCTGGGTAAATGTGAATTCTGTTTTGCTCCTCTAGATATTTCTCCGTCTCCATAATTCCTATTATGAAATGGAGTACAAACAACATCCACTAGTTTTAAAAATATATTTTAATTGCAAAAGAAAAAAGTACAAATAGCTAAGGCAAAGCCATTCCCAACATAAGTAAATTTTGACAAAACTCTCAACAAATTTCATAACTTTTTTCTATCTCTTAGAATATAACTTTTAACTTTAAAGCATATGATACATGAATAAGTATTAATTACAAGAATTTGTCCTTTTTTAGTTTTATAATCTATGTAGTCTTCATTAAAATATTTTAATTAAACTTAATAAACTTTGATTTTAAACATGCAGGACAAATTATTTTTGGCATTGTACTCAGTCTTTGAAAGCTAGCTCTAAAGCTATCAGAACAGTTTTCATGTTAAAACTGGAGAATTATATCAAATTATCTGCACCTATTATTTTTATTAATAGACTTGATACTGCTTGGAATAATTTAACTTGATCTATATCTTTTGCTCAATATTGCCTCTTAGTGGCAACCTTCTTCACACACACCCCTGCTGCCCAAGAAAATATCTGCTTGCTCTATTAAAAAATAAACCATGGATAAAAACTTTATACCTGTTATACTTTTTTCTAATAAAGTGAAGCAATCCTATTTGAATTAATGAAAAGCATTTTGCTCAATAGGAAAAGCTACTGTATAATTAACCAAGTACTGCTTGAGCCCTTTATTAAAAGGAATATCTACACAATATACCAAACTGAACCATTTTAACCCTTTCTTATGAGGTAGGTGTTATTATTTCTGTCTTTAGGCAGAAAGATTAACTTATAGCATCTCATAAAAGCAAAAAAAAAAAAAAAACAACCAAACAAACCACTTTTTCCATGCTTTTGAATACAATATCTTAAGGTAGCCAAGCAAAACATAACTTCTGTCAATATGTTTTTGGCTTCAAGTGTAATAATACTAACAATGGCCTCTGGTATTTGATAGGGTTTAAGACAACAAAATAATGATCTCTCCAAACAATTACCAGTTATCTCTTGATCTACACATTTGTGTTTTAACATAAAGTGATTTGGGGAGTGATAAAGGGATGCCTTTAAAATATAAAGTTAAGAGCATCCCTGTAATAGGAACATTACAATAGAAACAACATTGCTAGTAAAATAAGTGGGACATCCAACATTTTTGAGAAATTTAGGCAAATTGTATTTAAGAAGCTTTTTGAATTTTCCCTAAAGCAATTTTCTTAAGATAAACCACATAAGGGTATTTCAAAATAGATTAGCTGACTAATTATTAGAACAATTTTCAAAGTAAAAGCTGTAAGAGCTTTGCAGGAGCTTGGCTCGCCATGCAGGCCAACCTGAATTCAGTATTGTATTGTTCATTCCAGTTTGAACCATGCCAGACACTTCTATTTAAAAAAAAAAAGTTGGAATTTGTCAACTCATTTCACCAGTGTTTTGTATATAATAAATTAAGGCATATTATCAATTTCTGCACCATAGGAAAAAATTGTTAGGTCAGAATGTGTACAATTTGTTAGATATTTAGTGTTAAACTGTAGAACTGTCATAAATACATTGAAAATACATCAAATATACTAGGGAAATAGGCACAGAATTAAATAGTTTTCCTAACAATTGAATGGTATTAAAGGGAGGATTTATGGAATACAAGATTCAAATTTTAAGAGTTTGAAGAAAATGCATCCAAATCAAAATAATATATATTAATATACTGTATGTTTAGACGGTGAAACAGTTTTGGTTGGCATGGAAACAAAATATAACTGTTGTAAGCTTTCACATGCTTTAAGCAGAGAGGTGCTAATGTTATTAAAAACATACTAAGTCTTGCCATAGTTCAAGAAAACAAAACATGCCAGGAAGCTAGAAGAAATCCCTTAATTTACCCGGTAAAAATTGGAAGCATCCCATAAGCTGACCCTTGGCTTCTAAGCTAGAGGTGCAGAGTAAATCTTCCTCTCCCCAAAATAAACAGATTCTCCAGCAGAGTCCTTCATAATATGTGATGCACTGTTGCTTTTTTGTTACCATCACAATGAAAACACCAAGGGAGCCCTAGATTTTAAGCATGGCTTCTTTTATGGAAAAAGAAGTAGAAATGTATGTAAGGGGTAGAAAGGCAAAAAGATTCTCTGGACCCCATAAAACTCATTGAAAGGGTTAATTAAAATCTTATTCAGAGGCAACTTTTCTCAAAAGTAACCTTTGACAAATCTGCTATTCTTGTATAAACTATAGACTAAGAAATCTACAGTACTTTTAGATTCTTTACATAAAGTGGATGTTGTATAGCTTTCCTATAATTGATTCCCTCCCCCCCCCACTTTCTTATTTTTAACATTTATCAGCTCATATTCAAAAGGAGCTAATGATAAGAGCTTGTTTTTTTTTCCCCTGGTGTAGAGAAAACTTTATTTGCTATTGCTTCAGAAGTACATTTTCTAGTTGTTTCTAGAATGCTAATGTTAATTTTATTTATTACTTTTTTACAAACAACTCAAGGTGGCAAACATATCCAATAGACCTTAGTCCTTGTATTTTCTTCACAACAACAATCCTGGGAAGTGGGTAGGGCTGGAAGTTATTGACCCCAAATCACCCAGATGGTTTTCATGGCTAAGGTGGGACTTGAACTCTGTCTGATTATAACACCTTGCTTGCAATTAAAACAGTATTGAAGTTATTTTTAAAATTGCAAATCTTTTATAATACCGTAGTCTCTATTTTGAAGGCTGGCTGTAGGCAATCCTTGGGAAAAAAACATTTTAAAATTGCACACATTACTGTTAAAAATATTAGTACTATGATAATACTAGGATAAAATTTAATTTTTAAAAGGTGCAATACATTAAGCTCTAGGTGCAATAGTCCAATAAGGTGCAATAGACTAAGCCTTTGAAACAAAAAGTTCTTCCAACTATATAAGATTTTATTGAAAAATATTTGGTAGTGTAAAAATGTACATCACAGTGGAATTTATCTTATGCCATAGGTTCTTCTAGATGAATATTATCTAAATTCATTGGTAATGATCTTCCAGGCTTTTAGACTATGGCTTTCTTTAAAAAAGGTGAAATTGGCTAGATGCTTACGGTAATTTGAATTTTTTTTCCTATAATTGCTTCAAACCTTTCCCACACAGATTTATACCCCAGAAAATTATTAATTTATTTAGGGCCATGGAGCAAAATTTTCACAGACAAAATGAGAATCATATTCTACATCAATAAGTTAGAGAGATACTAATGACTCTAACACATTGTTACTGTAAATATTTCACAGTTGTCTTGTGGCATTTAAACCGAATCCTGAAGCTCAACTGCAGTTCAAACTTTTAGCCTGCAAATTAAACTGTAAAGGATAAGTTAGACTAAACTATATTATTGCTACTACAGTCTCATTATCATCATCATCATCCTGACATCTTTCTATCCAGAATTCCCAAGATATGATATATATACAAAAATACACACATAGGAAAAATAAATTCTTTTAGTGTATTTTTTACAATGCACAATTATTTATATTGTGTTATCAGAAAGAAGTTAAGCACTTAGGAATTAAACATTATAATTTCTAACTTGTTCAATTTGCCAAAATATGCTCATATTTAATCATTTAAATTAAGACAGTACTTTAAAGATGAATGCAAAACATGTCTTTCAAAGGAAATTGGGCTTAAGCTGTTTCAATGTGAGAAATGGACACAAATTTATCACAAATGCCTTCAGAACACAGAAAAATTCTTATACACATTGGCATTAATATATGTTGTAAAAATTTTTCAAACAGTTATATTCTTATAGATTTTTAGTGGTGGTAAACCAAGTGCCTTTGAAAAACATTAAAACAACTACCCTGCAGAATTGAACAAAAGGTCTTTTCAGAAAACATTTTCTCATTTGCAATTCAAATATTTTATATTACTAGTTAATGTGTGTTTGTTGTGGACTATCATCTTTTCTGAACTGAATCATTTCATCATCAGGAACATTTGTTTATCCACAATATTAAACTACAATATTCTGTTTGTTGCGTGTAATGTCAGTGTATGCTGATTAATTGATTATACACCATAAAGTCATTGTCAACTCTTGGAGACCACATTGATTTTTTCCCATGATTTGTCCATAACCTGCTTTTTCAGGTCTTCCAATGATGCACCTATCACTACTATAACTAAGTCCACCCAGTTTGCTGCTGGTATCTTATTTCTTTCCACTTTTCCCAGCATTTGCACCTTCTCTAAAGAGCTAGGTCTTTGTATGATGCATTTGAAGTAGAATAGTTTGAACCTACACAGCTGTACCCCAAGTGAGAACTATGGGTTGAATTGTTTCATAATCCATTTGCTCTTTGTTTTCCTAGCTGTCCATGGTATTCTAACAAGTCTTGTCCAACACAAAAAGTCAAAAGCAGCAATGCTCTTTTCTAGCTTGATTTCAAAGTACAATTTTCACTTCTAAAAAATGTCACAGAAATATCATTGCCTCCAGTATTCTGATCCTTGTAGGTATACACACATCCTGGCATCTGAGTATCTTTTCCAAGGCCTTCATAGCTACTAAGTGCTAGTCTGTAGAATATTCCTTGATTGCTTGTTTCTTTACTGTTGATGTTTCACGCTTTCTACCGCTTCAAGTATCTTTATTGTCACTTCTGAGCAGATTGTATCTGTTGTCATTATGACATTGTTTTATCACAGAACCATAGAACAAAAGCACCTCTGAATGATAGTCCAATCTTCTACTCAGTGCTGGATTTGCTAAAACATTTTCAACAGGTCTTCATCTGAAGACCTTCACTGAAGGTGAACATATTACCTCATGAGGAAGCCCATTTTATACCACTAAGAACTATTTAAACAATTTATTGTAAATGCTTCTTTTATACAAATGGGAATTACCTTTTACTTTAAAAGGGGTTTTTTTTTTTTTGAAGAACAAGGTTCAAAAGAATGGGTAAGGGAATAAGATATTATCGGTATATTCCTGGAGCTATCTTGTAAATGTTATTTTTTACCTGATTTTTGTTTATTTTGGAAGAGTGTTGTACTCATTTTGTCAACTGAGTCTCATTTTCTACACTACAATTTAAAATGCTTTAATTTGGTAGGGCTTTACATCAGTTATGAATTTTGGGTCGTTCATTTTTTTGATTAAGTTTGGAAAATATATACTATTTTTTCTTTTATAGAGGGATTGTTGCATTTCTTAAGGAAGTAATGCTTTTTTTGGAAGAATTCTAATAAAATTACAGAATTCTGTTAAAAGAAAAAAAATCTCATGAAGAACGACCATGAAAACCAATGGGCCATCACTTTTCTATATTATAATTTAAAAAAAACATAAACTTGATACTAGATTTAAATATTCTTGAAAATCTCATATTATGATCACCATTCAGTATTCTATAATGCATATAAATATCTGCAGTGAGCTAGAAATAATTTAGAAACTGACAGGTACTTCCGATACACCCAAAAACTGAAAATTAGTATACAATTATGTAAGACAAGAAAGAAGCTGAAGATAGCTTCTAAATAATAAAAGGAGGAGGAAGAATCCAAAATGGAAAAAAAATCCTCAAGAATTTATTGGTTGTTTTAAATTCTTTTTTATATATAAATATGAACCTTTTCACCTTTCTCCAGTCTTGGTTGTTTTCTTACAGGTTCCATGAATGCACAAATTCTATGCATACCCCATAGTTAGGAAAAATTATTACATTAGAGAAAGAAGTAATATATCTTGTATAATTATGTATAATTATGTTCAGATGTCGGTAGCTTGTCAAATAACATTATTTCTTCAAATATAAGAACTGAAGATTCTTGTATTTAATAATGGTAGTCTTTAGGGACAAATCTCCATTCTTATGCTGAAATGTGCGAAATAACTAAATTATCTGACTTTTCTTCAATTTCAGGCATAGATAAGAATTCATCTGTTTCATAATCATCTTCAAAGGAACTACAAGAAATGAATAAAGAGATTAACACTAAAATGTTTGATTATCAATTTCTAATTTTCAAATGACACTAATTTTAGAAAATATGAAGACAAATATAAAACATAGCCCTATGAAGCCTAAAGACAAGTAAGTCTGAATTACCAAATAGATACATAATAATAAATATAGTTGAGTGCAAGTAAAGGATTCATATGAAGATAGTTCAGGATACAGGCTATGATAATTTATCATAACATTCAAATATAAAAATTGCAAATGTTTTTGTAGCCATTTTTTTCAGTGCCCATTTTTCTGATATTTTTTTGAGCATGCATTTACGTGCACATTTATCTCTATAGTGACACAGTATATGTTTTGCAAAATGAATAAAGACAATCCTTCCATTTCCCAAATAATTGCTTTGGAAGGAAGAGATAGCTTGTCTGTCTGTTTAGCAAACTTCTTAACCACCCATCTCCCTCATAAGTGTTGGGTTCAAACAGTACAGGAAGAAGCACACTATTTTTGAAGGTATGCAAATATCATTCCTTATTGAGCAGAATTGGAGAAAGAGAATATGCAGGTTCCCCAAACACAGATTATTATTTGGTCTCTAGAATAAGTATGGCATAACAAGTGTCTAATAGGAATGCTGGAGAAGAAAAGTACATTTGGTTGATACTGACAGGGTGTTTCCAAAAGGACTACACTACTCTGAAATACTGCCCATCTTCATTCAATCTTATCAAAATTAGTCTGCAAATAGCTAGATCAAGGCTGAGCTTCCTCATGATGAGCCAGTTCCTTTTTCCAGGATGTTCCTTCAACTTTCCAGTATGGCATTAAATGCATGGCCTTCCATCCAGATAATAATCAGGTCAAACCATGCTTAGCATTTTGAAATCAGCCAAGGTAGTCAAACTCTCATACAGTAATAGCTAGCATTGCAGAGTTAATTACAAACAGTACAGTCCGTTCATCTAGTGTGGATAGAGGTCAGAGCTTCTAAATATCAAAAGTCTTTTAACCTCAGCCTGTCATTTAATATGTTTCTTTTTTAACATCATCACGATTTTGTTCTAATATTTCCATCCTGTTGCAAACATGAGGTAGAAATTATTTATTTTGGTTATAAAATTGGTTAAAATTTCCCACTGTAGATTCAAAATAACTTCCAGGGACTGCTACTGACCCTGGAATGGTAAGAATTGCAAATGTTTTGCATGGGCTAAGGAATGGAGTTGTGAGCTTGGGCTTCTCTTTTCATCTTACTGCTGGAGAGACCTTTAATTAGCCATTTGATTTTGATTTTTAGTAACAAAATTTTCTCCAGCACTGGAGATGGCTAATCCACCAATGGGTTGAGACTGTATTCCTGCCCAATCGGATCAGTCAGCCAAAGTTGCCACACCTGTCCTGGACCACGAGATCCCAGTCTTGAGTGATCTCGCCCAGAAGACAGACGTTCAACTTTGGCTCCTAGGCAGGTACAGTTTCTCCCATTGGTGGATTATTTCCTTCCTGTAGCTGAGAATTAGATCAGATAAACAATTCGGATTTAATTGGCTGAATTAGTTAAAATTCTTGCAAATTACCTACTGAAATCTAGAGTTCCAGAGGGATATCCTCTTCCACTAGAAAGGGGGGAGGGTGATTTTCCTCAAACTCCCATCCTAAACCAAGCCCCACTCCCCCGATTCCCTCGCCAACGGCTTCAAAAAAAGAAAAAGAAAGAAAAAAGAAAAAAAAGAAAAAGCCAACCGGCTGAGTTGAGGCCTTTTTTTCCTGAGTTGAGGCTTTTAAAACTAAAAGGATAAAACTCATGGAGGTAGCAGAGGACTAGGGGGAGGGGCGCGCGTAAGGGGGGAGGCAGCCGCGGAGCCCCTCTTTTAGGGTGGCGTGAGCCAGCTGCAAAGCGGAGAGCCCTCCCTTTAAGCGCCGGGGCATTCTCCGAGGAGCTTTAAATTAGCCGCCATGACCGGAAGGACCTAGCGCACGTGCGATCCTTTTGTTGTCGACGCATGTGGAATCTGGCAATAGAGGAGACCTTTCTGCGCAGGCGCGGCAGCCAGTTTGAGCGCATGCGCAGAAGGTCTGGGCCTGCAGCGGCCATTTTATTTGAAGTCAGGGACACAACTGAGCATGCGCGGCTAGCATATACGCACGCGTGGTCAAGAATTTCTCCACAACCTTCATCGGCCACTAGAAGGAGACAGGAGGCATAAGACCCCTTGCGGACCTCCCTAGCAACTCAGACCTTAAGTAGTAAGTTGTTTGAACCCTTACTGTTTACACAGATATAACTTGAAGGAGTTTTTTTCTATCATACAGGAAGCAGACAATAGTAGCTTCCCACTCCAGGACTTGGTGTCTTCACTTCCAAAAAGAGTTAAAAGGGCCTTCATAACTAATTGAATTGAGTTGCCTCTAGCTCCATCCGGACTTCGGGCCCCCCATTAGTGGCCCGTACGTTTCTGGATTTAGTGGTGGGTTCTAGGCATCCCCAGTCGTGTGCCTGTCCTTAACCACTACAGTCAAGCCGGATTCCAGGCATTCCCATTAGCGTGCCTGTCCTTATCCGTGCACAGTGACTAATTCAGACCACTTGCAGAGTCTGTTCCTGAGTTCCAGGCGCCCCCTGTAGTGCGTCTGTCCTTACTCAGAGTAGAAGCTCTCCTACTACCTGGGTTCCCCTATCGTGACCCGGTGTTAGTGGAGAATGAAGGAAGCAATCATTCCCTCTACTTGAGCCTTGCCTTCAACCTCTGGAGCACCCGCTTCAGAGAGTTCTGAAGCCTCTGCAGCCCCCAGAATCAAGGCTGCAAGGAAGTCATCCAAAAAAGCAGACAAACAGGCAATCAGAAGGCACCAAGCCCTGGAAAAAGAATTCAACAGAGCCCAGAATTGAAGATAGTCAGAGCAGGGGGATAGTTCCCAAACTACCGCTGGGGCTCTCTTCATTCCCACTGGGCGTTTGATCTACAGGGAATTCATCTCAGTCCCCAACAGAGGGCGGGATAGGTGAATTCTCATCGCTCCCGATCCCCCTCGCCACGTAGGATAAAAGAACCTCCGGTGACCACGCTAACCCCAGCACCGGCAGGGACGCAGGCAATAGCTACTCCTCCTGCACTGGCAGGGGATCTACTAGCTACCTTAATAGTGCAGACAGTAGACCGTGCATTTGAGGCCAGGGCTCAGACCTCCAAGGCCAAGCCACTAAGGCACAGACCGAGGCTTCGGGAGAAAACAGAGGACCAACAGGACCCCTCTTCCCTCTCAGACTCGTCGGTCTCCGAGGAATCTTACCTGGACCAACCAGGTACGTCACAGGAGATCCAAATGTCCGAGGAGGAGGACAACTCATCTCAGGTGCCGTCTTTCAACGGCCTTTTTAACCCTTCTCTTTTTGTCACCATTCTGCGCAAGGCTGAGGCCACACCCATCTTGGGCAAGGAACAGCAGTGGAACCTATCACAGTCGACACGGAGGCTGAGCCAACGTTCGCCGAAAATTTTCTGTTTTAACATGCTTTGTCATTCTAATTTCATTTCAAAACACTACTAATTTCAACAATGAGTTTCAGCATTTCTTGGAACAACAACTTTAAGATGATTTTGCTCACCCTTCTTGTAACTGTACACTGCCAGACTCTTCAGCTACAAGAATTTCATATTCCTCAGCAGCATATCTGTCCCAGTCAGAGGGTTCTGGACTATCATTTTCAACATCCTAAATACATGGATTAGAAAGAAATAGATAAAACCCAACAAATCTTTTAAAGATTAGGACATGCATAATTGTAAATATCTGCAATAAATAGTGTAATACACTATTACTAAGCATTCAAAGAAGTATCATTGCATATTTTTGGTAATTATCTGTAAATGAAATATCCTGCAAATATTATGGTAAGTTCCTAATCAGGTATACAAAATAATTAAAAATTAACAATCTTGCTTGCAGATATCTTTCTTAATTCATTTCAGTTTGGTAGTCAATTTGTTCAGCGACCAAAGTTATGACGGTATTGAACAAGGAAGACCTATGATCTGTCCTCAGAGTTCCAGCAGTTGCAACATCTCCAGAGTTAAGCGATAATGACCTGGGTGCTTAATGCCAGGATCGTGATTACATGGCAGTGAGCTGCAGTCATAGGATCACTATTTCCAATGTTCCTTACTGGCTTCACACAAGGAATTAATAGGGAAGCCATCAGAAAGTTGGAAGTCACAGTCATGAGAAGAGCTCACTTAACAATGACAATCAGGACTGATGTCACTAAGCGACACAATCACATAACATCACACTCTATGACCATCTTGCTTAGTGACAACAATGCTAGTCACAATGTAAGTTAAAGGCTACCTACTCAAAAAATGCAAACTATTGAAATTATTTATATTTAAAATTATTAAGGAAAAGTACTTCAGATTCTTCATTATTATATTTAAAAATTAATCATGATACAGGAGTTGTTTTAAAATTTAATCTCTGACTTAAGGAAAAGGTGGCATAGTATTTCTGATCTTGCTATCCTTTCAAACTGAAACAATTTTGAGAGTTTGCATAACACATTAAATCAGTATATTAAATATGCACAAACCCACACAAACATACTGCCACCTTTTCACCAACATCATATGGTTCCTTAACCATATTAACTTGCACAAAGCCAAGAGGTTATGGTTTCAGCTAACAGTAACTGAAATCCAGAAACGTGATTTGAGCATTGGTTTAATATTAACAGATATTAACAGGAAATTGTATTGTTTGGTTCTTATTCTACTTTTCACAACAGAAAACTCCAAAAAAAGGGGGGGGGAATACAAGAACAAAGCAAAACTAAACATTTAAAAACTGCACAGAAAAAAGTGTACACATAGTAAAAGAAAAAATGCATAGAAAAAATACATCTGTCTTGTTTAGAAGAGAGATCTAAATTTATTGTAATACATGTAATAAATAATTGATGTATATATGCATGCATGCATGCAATAGATATCCTGGCTTATATTTAGAAGTTCAAGGCATGATATATATACTATTTCATGACTATACTATTCTATACTATACTATACTATACTATACTATACTATACTATACTATACTATACTATTCTATACTATACACTATATATTATATATAGTACTCTCTCATCCTTTTTCTCTCTACAACCACTACGTGATGTAATTTGGATAGAATAATTAGCCCAATGTGGTAAGTTCGCAAGACCAAGGAAACGAGATTTACATCTATTTCAATAAAATATCTTATAATGCTTGTCTGGGGTAAATATAGACTCTTGAAAATTAAGATGAATTTCCCAGTCTCATTTACAATTATATATGTAGTTGAGGAGTGTAATCAGTCAGATTTCTCCCCATTTGCATTGTTGCCATTTATGAAATAAACTATCAATTGACTTAGTCAATGTGTTCTATCCATAATCTCTCATATCTAAAGTAATTCAGAATCTAAATGAGTGTGAGAGTTGAAGATGGAGCTAACAGTTTTTGGTCCAGATATTGAAATTATGTAAATATATGACAGCTACTCAGTTTCAAAACCACCAAGCACTTATCCATGCATTTATACTACTGTGGGTATTTGAACTCTCACTGATGGCCAGCACTGTATGGTTCCATTCTTCATTCTTGTTTGCAATAAAATTCTCATCTAGCTGAATTGTCTGCAAAGTTTAGCCTCGGACAGAAGCTGTGAAGCTTTGTGATTTACCTCCTAGTCCTAGTAAGGGGGCTGACCACGAGGTATGATTGAAAGGAATATGGATCAGACTCCACAAGCCATTTCTCCAAACAATCCAAAAGGCTGCAATTGGGGCAATCAATGTTCACTTCACCCCAAAGATTACAAGACACATATTAATCGCTAATTTCAGTGCTTCCTCTTCCCCCATCCTACTTCTCTTCCACCAGGGAATTTAAATGTTAAAATGAAATTTAATACCTGCTTTTTTGTAGTATGTATATCAGAGCAAAATGCTGCCAAGAATTTTAAATAAAGAGCATGTTAGGGGCATCCATCTCACTTCAGTGAATTAAAACTACCCCAAATTGTCACTAATGTCAATGGGCTCAGACTTTACCACTAATGAGATCAAGCAATCAGGTGTAATAATTTCAGCTTAGTATGAGGTACAGAAATGTATGCCGGGAGCACAACGTGATGGCTAATTTGCCCTGGGTCATAAGAGGATAATGCAATGTGCACTTGCCTTAATGCTCATCTGCAGACATTGTCATGGAATTTATACTACTGGTCATACCTCCTCAATTACATAAAACTGTTTTTGTTATTTTTTCTCTATAATATTCTAGTTTTTCCTTTAAGTAATCATTACTTTGAAATAGAGCTGTTTTATACCTTTTGCACAGCAAAGGGATCCCGTTGTTCATTGTCCAGATACTTTTCGAGGTTAAAGAAAGTATTATAAAATACATGAGCCATTCTACATCTCTTCAAATCTCGTAGAGTAACTCTTCCTGAAAAACCAGCATATATTATTTAACTATTAAATCAACAGTTCTTAGTGGATTGGAATAAATGAGCTCCTAGTTCATGTATCCTATAACAATGACTATTTAAAGATTTGTCAAGGAGAGCAAGGAGTAACAGCGTATTTCAAAGCTGAATCACAAGTTTCTCAGTAGGCTTACTTCCAAAACAAATTGATTGATTTTGTCCATTCAGTTTGAATCAGTATGCACCAACCTGATCATGTGAACTTGTCACAAGCCTTTTCCATGAAATCATGTAAAATGTCATTTTGTGTAAATGCCAAGTAGATGTTTGAGTTGTGTTTATAAACAAAGAAACATACTTGTAGTTTGAAACACAACTACCGCTAGTAGAAAAACTTTAGCTAGCGGCTTTAACATTATTATTATCCTTGAGATACAACCGTAATGAGCCTGCCCATTATGATTGCATGTTGTGTCGGCCATTAAGTGAAGCTTCTCATTAATGACTCCCCCCATCCCTACTCTCCCCAATGAATTGTTTAAACAAACATGCAGGTTGTTAAGTGGATTATGAGGTGCCTCAGGGGTGGAGGAGGCCCTTGGAAGATCTAGCGCAGAAACCTAAATTAGGACATTGCTAATAGTTTTCCCAGGTAGACTGAACTGACCAGGCTGATTTCAAATAACATGATTACCTGCTAGCAGTGAGGACTAGATTAATTACTACCGGTAAGAATGAATTCAGATAAGTTAACAAAAAGAATTCAGTGCATTTTGTCATATGCCTTTCAAAAATGCCCACGTGGAGATGTTTATTAAGATTGCTTTCAGTGTGATGTATGTTCCAATTAGCATTATGTCTCATTTGTGAGTAAATGGATGATCACTTCACATTATAGATGACATATTTGTAGGGAATTATTATCTCATTAAAAATAACATTCATAAATTCATCTATTAGACATTTAATCATCACACCTATTTGAAGAGGTAGTTGCAAATGTCTGAATAACTTAACTAAATTCCATATTATGTATTATGGTGGATCAGGATAACTTTTGTGATTTTCAAACTGAAGGTGCAAAGATTAAGAAGCTAGTGTGAAAGCTACTCTGGGCATATTTCTGTAAAGACATACAATTCTTTAAAGCACCATAAGATCAAATTTAATAAAAAGGAAAAAAATATCATATAATAGCTCTTACCCTCATGTTCTGGTTTTACTAAATCAAGCATTTGGCACAATAGGTCATGGAAGGGCAATGGCTCAATACCCATAGATTCCATCCTCTCACACTGTTCCTCATAAAAATACTCAAGTTCATACATTGATAGTGTGCCATTCCCATCTAAATCCATGCATCGGAACCAGTACTCAATACTACAAAACAAAGAGATGAATCAAGATGCATTTTATAGTATGGCAACAAGTAACAAGAGTTTTGGGGATGCCTTTTATGTACATAATACATAGTAAAGCTTTGCCTGGACTTTCCCATATGACAGGTTGTACCGGAAAGGCTACCTTGAAGTTTAAACAATGAGTTAAAATACATAATACCCTCAGTTGCTCAGTGGAAAATTCTGTATTATTTTCCCATCCTAAATCTGACTTTCAGAGAGTTTTGGATGGAATGATATTTTTAGCAGCTTGATAAAACTTTTATGTGACAGAAACAACACACAAGGGATGGGAATACATTACTTGGAAGAAGGCTTTAGTAATAAAGATAATTTTTACAATATAATGCTCTGTTGTAGGTACATTCTCTCCTATTTAAGGCTCCTCTCATGTGAAATTTTGTGGCTCGTAGTCAGTGAAGCTGGAGTGGCATGGAAGGTAGGTGCCATACTGTATATAGGTTCCATATATGATTTATGTGCCATCAAGTTGATGTCTCTTGGTGACCACATAAATATTGTTCATAACATACTGTATGAGTTAACTTTAAAAAAAAATCCCTAATGACATCCATTTTAAAACATTTTTGATAGATTCAATAAACTCAAAATGTATTATGGTAAATTAAATTCATTTTTAAGTAATGAGAAATATATTTTTTGTTTCCTAATACTTGGACCCATTAATTCAATATGTTATGAAGCATTGTGTAGAGGAATGCAAAGATACTCTTGAAGAAGGAATGTAGGAAAGAGAAATGAAGAGACAATGTAATCCTGAGAAAGAAAAGAAACTCAAAATAACCCCACCTTGGATCTGTTTGGTACAAGAAGGAGCAGAGGGAAACCCTAGCATTCTTTCAAGAATTGATTATTATCCCGGCATCAATGAAGTAGGTGTTTCCTGAGCAGGCTTATCTCTAAGGACTGATATACTGATAGTCATAGAATCAAAGAATATAAAGGTTGGGGAATACTATCTTTAGGCTCATCTAGTCCCAATTGCTACAGTATCCCAAGAGATGGACTTCTAGCCTCTTGTGGAGAATCTTCAGGGAAGGAAAAACCATCACTTCTCAAAGAAATCTATCTACGTCAATCCAAAACTTATAATTTAAACCTATTATTTCTTGTCCTCTCTTCTTGAACAATGTTGATATCCATTGCATTCTGTGTTTCTTTTACCTTTTGGACCAGTTCAAGAGTAAACCCACACAAGGTACAATAGACTAATTAAGAAATTAGATACATACGGATAACAGTCATCATGTACTGTTTATATTTTAGATATTTATTTTACCTTGTGAGGCATCTTTTGTCTTCTTCTGAGATCAGAAACCACACAAAATCTGCATAGCTCATCTGGTTTTCTTTCTGTTCTTGACTTCCTCTAAAATATATAAAAATACATAATTAATTTGTTAATTAAAAAATAACCAGAGGCAAATTTTTAAAAATTGCAGAGAATCTGAAAGAGATAAAAGACAAAATTTCTATTCCTAAACATGTATTAAGGTTACCTAATTCCTGGAAAATCAATGTTTTATTAACCTGAAGACATAGTCCAGACAGATTTGGAATATTACTAACATGACAACTTTGAAATCAGGATTCTGGGTTGATTTTTAGTGCAATAAATGTTAGGACTGCCTTTGGAGAATCTTCTTCTCACGAGGCATCAATGCCTTTTCATAACCAGGAATGTGAATAGGGAATCACTGAAACCTATTAGGAAACAGTAGGTAGTGAACGCCTCTCAAAGAGGAGAGAAAACTATGGCAGACTATCTATTTGTAACCATGATTCCTTTCATAACACTAAGCAATTTAAGACAAAATTCAAAATTCAACTTTTTGAAATGTTACCATTTTATCTTTATGTTACTACTTACCTAAGAACAGCTCCAGTGAATATTCGTTCTATAATTCTGCTTGACAAAGCTGTAGATTTAAAAAAAAAAACAAAAGTGTGAGGGGTAGTTTGTAGGCTGATCAGGAGACAGTTATGTAAAAAGTAAACTACCTAAAGCTCATATTTTATTGATAAAAAAACCTGACTCCTTGCTAGATCACAGAAAAGCCATTGGAAAGGAATTACAAAAGTATCATCCAAAGGTCTTAGAAAACAAATAGATTCCTATGAAAAACAGTTCAGTTGCTGAAATTCTTGTAACCTTATCCATTCAGTTCAATAAATCTTGTTTAGAAGGCTCTGCTTAAGAAACACATTACTGTTTGAATTAACTAGAGCAGGGGTCCCCAACCTATGGGCCGTGGCCCACTTCCCAGCCACTGCCTCTTGGCCAGCGTGCTGCGGAAATGGCTGGTTGGTGTGCACACATGTGCGTGCGCACTCCCCCGCACTCGCACTAGTGCCTGCGGCCCCATTTGCACATGCATGTGGTTGCAAATGGGGCTGCTAGCACCGGTGGGTGTGTGCAGTCCATTTGCACATGTGTGAACAGAACTGCTAGCGCTGGGCAGGTGTGCGCAGCCCATTTGCGTATGCATAAACGAGGCCACTAGCGCCAGGTGGGTTGCACGGCCCATTTGTGCATGCTCGAACGGGGCTGCTTTTGCCGGGTGGGTGTGCATGACCTGTTTGTACATGCACAAATGGGGCTGCTAGTGCCGCACCAGCATGCTTGGTGCTGTTTGCTTGCACGCGTACCAGTTTAGAAGCTACTTCTCCTTCCCTCCGGACCGTGAGCCCAGAAAGGTTGGAGACCTCTGAACTAGACCCTGACAAATAGTTAGGAATGCTTATCTTATTCCTAAAAATGAAATATATGAAGACTAGTACATGCATGCTACAACATGCAATTGTATGCAAAATTCAACATGAGCATTTTCCTAGATATAGGTAGTCCTCAACATACATCAAAATGGAGCCTGCCCATTATGGTTGCAAGTGGTGACAACCATTAAGTGAGATAGTCTAGCTAGCTTAACAACTTACTCTACCTGATGCCACTATTAAATGAATGCACAGGTCATTAAGTAAGCATGGATACCTCAGAGGTGAGGGAGGCCTGCCACCCAGCTGGGTCCATAAAGCAGGCAGACAAGCAGCAAATGTTTTGCATAGCCAAAACCAGCTCAATGGTGGTGGGAGGAATAGACTCGCTGTCAAATAACTGCAAACTTCTCCTGGCTCTTACTAGCCTTTGGGAAAGCCAGGAGAGGTTTGCAATCTCCTGGTTTGCAATCTCAATCCAGCTGATTGAGGCAGAAAGCTCTGAAAGCAGCTGCCATTTCTGCAAGGAATTGTTTTGAGTGCTGAAAATGATGGCTTTTCCCAGGAGGCACAGGGAGCAGGTCCAAGTGCTGCAGGATATCATCATAGCCGGATGGGGGAGGGGAGAATGCAGGGAGGCACTGCAGTGTCTCTGTGAGGGCGAATGACCCAGGGGGCATTGCAGCCACTGTAAGTTTGAAACAGAGTTGTCATAACTTCGAACAGCCATTAAATGACTTGTTATAGCTTGAGAACTAGCTGTATACTACATATATTGATGTCTTTACTACACATCAATTTATTATGATTATTTTAAGTTTGAATTCCTTTCAGTCATTTTTTCCATCTTTTAACACAAGAATTCCTTTTTAATATGTAGAAGAGGCATTAGGGTAAATCCATATAGTATGTTATGAATTTGAGATGTTCAGTCAAATATTAAAATTATGAACAGCTGCATGCTTCCATCAGGTGTAGGATAAAAACAAAATTTCCAGGTAAAAATTAGCATTATTACAGGATTGAGGACAATGAAGAAGTTTGGATTTAGTTAGTTTATGATTGTTTTCATTTTAACTCATCTTCTTTGCCATGTTATGGCAAACACATAATTTTGTTTAACAATTTGCTTTGAGCTATCCTTTATATACTTCAGCAGTGACAATCCATATACCAATAACGACAAGGACTATTTTCCTATAAGCCAGTTCTGAATGGCAGTTAATGATTGAAAAAATAGAAAGCTATATAAGAAAAGTCTTTAGTAAAGAATGAAGGAAGTTAGTTAAGTTTGGTAATCAATTCCTGTAGGGATTGTGTGTCTAAATGTGTGCTTGGACAAAAGCATAGTTCCTTTACAATATGTTCTTTTGCATTTGAATTTCCTTACCTTGATCATTGTATCTAGCCAAATCATTCTGATTGATATAGAGATCATGATCAGTGTCCAATTCCCAGAATTTACAGTAAATAACATAGAAGTGCTCATAGGAAAAATAATCAGTGATTTGATTAATGTCTTCCTCTTCTTCTAAGAGGGCTAGAGTCTGAAAAGATGAGAATGGATTAATTCTACATAAAAAGATGCTAGGATAGTACCAGGAATCTGGTATATTTAATAAAAGCCTAGATTTTTATTTGATTGTGCCAGTACTAGATAGAAGAATTCTTATATCTAGTATGTCCAGCAAGATAGCATACCTTTAGAATTCTTCTATCTAGTAGTGTCTACTAGATAGCATAACTCTAGTAGTGTCTACTAGATAGCATAACTTTCCCTCATATTTAAAGTATGCCCATCTTCCCAGAATGCACAGTACTTTTATTGCTAATTCAACTGAATTGCAAAATACAATGAATAAATTGTGGGAATAAAAAGTATTTTAAAACACATATTGTTCATATGGAGGCAGAAAATTAACATACCTGCAGAAAGTTGCTTTTCCTCATCTCTATTAATGATATTTTTCCAGACCATGATCTATTCACTATGTAAAATATTCTTTGAATGACCTGGGAAAAGATTAAATATACACCTCAAAATCACTGACAAATTAAAGATGAAATGCATCATCATGATAGTTGTACAGATCTATGTTCTCTTTTTCAGGTTTATTTAATCAGAAAAAAACAGGAGACTCATAAAGTTGGAAAGGGCCATCAAGTCATAGAATCATGGAGCTGGCAGGGACCTTGGAGATCTTCTATTCCAACCCATTGTCCAAGGCAGGAGTCCTTATACCAGTGATGGCGAACCTTTTAGAGTCCGAGTGCCCAAACTGCAACGCAAAACCCACTTATGCATCATCAGGTGCCGGGTGGGTGTGGCCCATTGGCTGGGTGTGGCCTCTTGGTGGGCGTGGCTGCGGTGGTAATGGCAGACTGGATGGGATTAAAAAGTTCAATCAATCAATTCCAACTTTGCAAGATCTTTTTTTCCCCACCAGAAGTTGAAATTGACTGATTGAATCTTTTTTTTTTTTTTTTTGCACATGGCAGCGGAGGCCTAAAGCGAAAAGATTTTATAAAACCCAGCTGAAGGCCTGGGCAATGGCGTGCGTGCCCACAGAGAGGGCGCTGAGTGCCGCCTCTGGCACCCGTGCCATAGGTTCGTCACCCCTGCCTTATACCATCCCAGACAAATGGTTGTTCAATCTTTTCTTGAAAACTTCCAGCAATGAAGCAGCCACAAAGCTGGTAGGCAAGCTGCTCCATTGATTAGTAATTTCCACTGTCAGGAAATTCTTCCTTATCTCTAGATTGGATCTCCCTCTAATGAGCTTCCACCCATTGCTTCCTTTCCTGCCCTCAGGTGCTATAGAGAATAAATCTCTCCCCCACCAATCTTCCCTAAGACAGCCCTTTTCATTAGCAGGATTGGAAAGGAAAACGTGTTAAACTATTTCTATAATATTAAAAAACCCTATATGGATATGCAGCCACAAAGAACCATTTTATGAATGATTATAGTTGTAAAGAACTGAGCAAAGTTTGTAGAAAAAGCAAACCAAATATGAAAGGTAAGGAAAAATTAAATAACTGAAACAAATCATTGCCAAATAGCCAACCTGAATTTGTCTTACTTCTGACACCGGTCATGCTTCAATCTCACTAGAAATAATGAAACTTTGCATAGAGAAATGCTAACATTATATATGTAGCCAACAAACCGTAGTAATGTAGCGGGAATGAAATTCCGGGGCATCCTTTAGAAATGTCAGTCCTGGGTGAGTTTCAACTATATCCTGAAATACACCAGAATTATTAAATACTGAAAAATGCCATAACCTTTTAAACTAGCACAGTACCTAAAAGGAAGCTGGGGAAAGGTAAAATAAAAAATTACCACAATGTAAGCTATGCTAACATGCTCTAATTATGTAGATGTAGAAACAAGAAAAGAAGGGATGTTGGACTTTCCCTACTCTTTTTGCCACACCACTGAATCATAAAACCTTGGCATTGGAAGGGGCCTATTAAACACAATTCTCTGCTCAATGCAAGAATCCCAATGTGCAGAATCAGTAACAACTGGATACTATATCCTGCTTTCAGTTGAATTCATCTGATGAGGGGGAGCTATCTCAGTAACTGTTTCTACTATCAAACTGTTTTTATTATTAGGAGGTTCTAGGCTTGAATTTAAAGGATTGGTCAAACATACCTGCAGTACTGGGATGAAATCTTCCTGTTCCAGATAATTACAGTTAGGTTTTGCTAAAAGGCAAATGAATTTTGATGCATCATCATGACAGTTGTTTAGAATCCTACAAAGAAGAAGCAAGACTGTAAGAATATTCCGATCAATCTGAGTTTCCCAAAAAGGGAAACATTCTATGATTTCAGCTTAATTCAGTATTACCCAATCTTGGCACTTTTCAAATAGGGACATATTTGGGGAATTCTAGAACCCAACATCTATGAAACCAGAAGTCTCTCAAGCTGAGAAAGGCTGCTATAACCTTTTAATCAATACCTATAATATAGAGCCAAAGCTACATGTTACATTTGCCTTTAAGTGCAAGGTTATTATCGTTTCATATATAGCAATAATAAGAAAAATTACATAAATAACTAAATTAGGCCACAATAAAGTATAAATCTAGCTATATCTATATATTTCTATGTATGCACATCTGTCAGCCCCACTATGTAGACCAAACCAAGAAATCAACACAAAGTTGAAACTACTCTTATTAATATTGGCTATAAAAACAGAATCTTGCAAGTCTGACTATATTTTACCCCATCCTTCCTCCCAAATATGATTATGAATTAGGAAATCTTCTACCTGAGTCTTTTGAACATACCTTCTTCTTATTTTTCCCCTGTTGCAGATCTGGCCTATGTCCGTCAAGGTAATCTTCCTAACTCCCTACAAAATGTGAATATATATAGTACAGGTGGTCTTCGTTCATTTAATGGATTTTCAAAATTACAGTGACACTGAAAAAAGTGACTTATGACCATTTTTCACACTTAGGAACATTGCAATATCGCCATAGTCACTTGATCAAAATTCAGACACTTGGCAACTGGTTCGTATTTTTGATTGTTGCAGTGGGTCACGTGATGACCTTTGAGGCCTTCTGACAAGAAAAGCCAATGGGGAAGCCAGATTCATTTAACAACAGTGTTACTAACTTAACAACTATGGTGATTCACTTAACAACTATGGCAAGAAAGGTCATACAATGGGGCAAAATTCACTTAACAACCTAGCAACAGAAATTTTGGGCTCGATTGTGATCGTAAGTTGACAACTGCCTGCATGTAGTCTACCTTCTTTCCTTTCTTTTTTGATTCAATGAAAGTTAAAAAAAAAGTCATGTAGAAATTTTCTGCTCTAAATAAATCATCTACCAATAACTTGTACATCATAATTGTAACTGTGAATGGTTGCTGTCCAAGGCAATTGCTAAATTAGGGCCACCTGTAAATAGTTATGATTTTGATATGTAAAAATCTGATTCACTTAAAAAAGTGAAATCAGCTTTCTTTGCCCTACATCAGTGGTTCTTAACCTTTTTGAACAAATCGCCCCCTTGAGTCAATGAGGAAGTTGTCATCGTCCCCCTCCCCCAACATAACCTCTCAATCACAACATAGGAAATAATTCTTCAATTTATGCAAACACTTTTTGTGTTTTCTTTAAAATTGTCATCAGGACATATCGATGCAAATAATTTATTTCCAGTCTTTTCCCCATATCTCCCATATTCTGGCCAATGGCGTGCCACTGTATGGGTAGAGGCTGCTCCGTAACACGCATGAAGATAAGCTATGCGTATTCACATATGTACGGTGTTCTGTACTGAAGCTAGCAGGAGGAACATTTGAAAACACAATTCAATCCACTAATAGCGAGCAATCTGATGTTTTTGTACGACAGATATAAAGCAATTCATTGTATGAAAAAGTAATCCCCAAAACTTCTCGCTCCATCGCCCCCATATCGCCCCCTTTTCATTCCTTTGCCCCTGTGTCGCCCCTTTTCGTTCCATTGCCCCCCTGAAAAATGAAATCACCCCCTGGGGGGCAATATCGCCCAGGTTAAGAACCACTGCCCTAGATCAGGGGGGTGAAACTGCCAGCTTGTGGGCCAGTTGCATCATGCGGAGGCCGCGCCCACCCCAGCTCCAGCAATGCGAAAAAAGTCGTGATACATCACGACACGTCACATGATGCGGGAAGTTTGACACCCGTGTCCTAGATGGATTAAGTAATCTCTCCAGGGAACAAAAAACATAGCCTGCTATGTTTGATAGCTCAGTCCTTTCCCCTCCCTCTAATTCCATGCTGCTTTATCTGAACTGTGAGAAAGCTGGGATGTTCTTTTGCTGCACACAGCTCTGCAGATGTTGCAAACATTTTGTTTTCCCACTAGTGGGAACTTTCATCTCACTATTTCAGAACCATCTCTCATTTACTAATATTACAGTTTCCTCTCATAACAACCAGGCAGAAAGCAGATGTCATATTGTGAACCCAGAACAGATATGGAGGATGATGTAGGCAATTTTATTTATTTGTATCCTGCCCTTATTATATTTCCAAATAACACAAGGCAGCAAACATATACAACACACTTTCCTCCTCTTTTCCTCACAGAAACAACCCTGAATTGGGCTGAGTGTGTGTGACTGGTCCAAAATCACCCAGCTGGTTTTCACGGCTAAGGTGGGACTTGAACTCACAGCCTCCCACTTTCTAGGCTGTTACCTTAACCACTAGATCAAACTTCTTCCCCCTAATTTGTGAAGTGGGAATAAAGAATTTTTTTTTCCTCTGAAACATACAAAAACTTGCAGCGAAGTCCTCACTGAATTATATTTTCTTCTACAGAGATTTAGCATTATGAAATCAATGGATGTAAAAGGGATATCTGATGGCCTTAACCACTTTCGAGTTGCCCTTAAAGAAGACAGTGCTGGAAAATCCTGCTGTTTTCCCATGCTGAGAAAACAACGAGATTAGAAACCCCATGGGAAATAGTTGTTGAAAGCATAGTAATGTAGGTGGTGGTAGAAGGGAATGTAGGTCTGGGAGAGGGAATGGCTGGATTGGAGAAGGTTGTTGAGAGAGTTGGGGAAAACAGTGCTGAAATGCAGAATCCTAGCAGGAGGATTGAAGAAGAAAGGCTGAAGGTCCCAGTAGGAAAAGTGGAAGAATCTCAGCATAAAGGCTGGAGTAAATGAGGGGAGGTTTTAGAAACCTTATCAGGATAGGTTAGGGAATCCTCTTAAACAGAAGCCAAATAAAATAGACAAGGAAGTACGAGGGCAATTTGGAAATAAACCTCCGTTTGATTATCAATGACAGACACTCGCAGATACAGAACTTTTATTATACAGACTAGAAAACTACAATATTACATTACTTTTTGACATAATTACCATTCAAATTGAGGCACTTGTCCTAACATCTTATAAGGTTTGAAATTCCTTAGTAGTAGTTGCTCGGCACCAAATCTGGGCTATGGGGGGGGGGGGGAATCAAAAACATCCCAACGGAACTCTTCAAAGGTTCTTGGGTGCATCTAGTGGTGTACGGGCGAACATTATCGTGAACCATCACATCGGAAGTCAGCATGCCCCGACGCTTGTTATGGATGGCTCATCTAAGTTTTCGTAATGTTTCACAGTAGACTGCTGAATGGTCGATCCACGCTCCATGAACTTCACTAGCAGTACTCCTTTGCATCTTCACACTTGGTATTTTCTATGGCACCACTTCCAGTGTGGTGTTGGTTCATGATAATGCTCGCTAGATGCATCCAAGAACTTATGAAGCAGTTTCATTGGGAAACTGTTTCATCAAAAACATCATCCCCCCCCCCCATAGCCCAGATTTGGTGTTGAGCGACTACTACTAAGGAATTTCAAACCTTGTAAGATGTTATGACAAGTGCCTCAATTTGAATGGTGATGTCAAAAAGTAATGTAATGTTGTAGTTTTCTAACATTTATAATAAAAGTTCTGTCACTGATAACCAGACAGAGGTTTATTTCCGAATTGCCTTCGTAGAAAGCAAGCATTTCATACACTCATAAATATATACAGAAAAGGAGCATTCTAAATGCATATAAATATCATGGCAACTAGCAGTAGTACTCTGGACATGCCTTCAAAATTATAAATACCTAGCGCACAAATAAGTTGGAGATCCCTGTTTTAAGAGAATATTTTTACACTGTGCTCACTTTCTCCACAGGGCCACAAATGAATGTACAGATACAAATCCTGTCTGCTCTCCTCCAGATGCATTGAACATGGGAGCTTTCCAGTATAGGGGACAGCCGCATATCTGTAAAAAGCACAAAACAAAATATTGTTGTTAATATCCAGGAAAAGACATTATTTTTCTCAAGCCATTTTATTAGAATATGTTGGAAAATAAAACCCAGGTAAATTATAAGCAGTGCATTATATAGTTGAGTTGAATCTCACAGACTTATTTCTTAAATTGTAGTTTTATTATTTGAATTATTTAAACAATAGTTCTTGCTGTGCAAATCTTTCATACATGAAACAATTTTGAAGCTTTAATCTCATTAATCAGATTAATAGATTGCTTTAAATGTATTTTATTTGCATTTTTAAATGGATTAATGACCATGAATGATTTAAGATAACCTTGTCATTTACCTGTATACACAATAGCACACATTAAAATTAAATTCTGATGCCCCTCTCTCAAAACAAGGAATGCCACCCAACGAACAATGTCACCATCTCAAGAATAACAATAACATAATACAGCAATAGCACCAAATATTAAGTTATAGAAAAATGACACCAAAACTTGTATTAATCACAATCCATTTTGAATACATAGCAGAAAAAAGACTCTTGAGAGTTAACAAGGTTGATCTATATGGAACAAAGTTGTTTACAAACTTACTCTAATATTTACAGCACTTATGTAGCATTGATATGACAAACTAAACAGAAATACTCAAATCTCCAGCATATTTTTAATTTCTAATTACTATTGCTCTATTAAGCTGCATATACTGTATTTGGGTGTTTATTCTTCATTATATTTCTCCTTCATTAGAACTATCTTTTTCATCACTATTCGCAGATGCAATAATTTGAAACTGGTTGCCATGAATGTGCCCAGGGAAAATATCATTCAACAATAACAATAACTTTGTTGCTAATTTTCATTCCTATGTATCTGCAGTTGATTTGTATCTGCAGTTGATCAGGTGCAAATAAGAACATCTGGCTTCTTTTTTGCTCAATAAGAAATATAGCAGTGATTTTGGATACATCAGAATTTAATATCACAGAAGACAGATCAGACATATTTTAAGAGGTCTAATTTATATTTACCAACATCTCTGGAGAGAGTCAATTGATCTAATTGACATGAGGATATACTATTAGTAGTATTAGTATTAAATTTATAAAATTGCACTACACTATTATTACAATCAGAATGAGACTGAACACCAAACCCTCCCCTGCTCCCCAAAAAATAGTATTATTTTTCCCTGAAGATATATTTAGGAATCTTTCTCTTTTTTTTCACTATTCTTTTCTTTAATTGCACCTTTTGCTTTTTCTGTTCTTTCTTTTTTGCCTTTTCTGTTTTAATTTAATTTGCATTAGTTCTTACTGCTTTTAAAACTTTTTATGAAAATTCTATTAAAAATTCATTTAGAAATCTTTATATATGATGAAGATGATAAAGCTAGAGATCCTGTTATCCTTTTGTTTCTTGTCCACCAGAACTTATAGATTCTTTTACTCTGCTACCACCCAAAAGTACTTTCTGGTCTCAGCTAGAGGATACTGCTTTCCTGATCATTCTCCAGTTCTAACCTAAACCTATGATGTTCAGATTTTTATTAGTCTAAAATCAACAAAGGATCTACTTGTGTTTGCTCAATGACTAACACTTCTTGTTCTGATGTGAGTTTATGTCATTTTTGGATACCAGAATTTGTATTCATTCAAGCTTTGTGCCATAAACACAAAATTAAAATATGCTTCATCCAAAAACTTCCTTATGCTTTAATAAATTATTATTTTTATCTATATTATAAAAGAAACTCCAGTTTTGAATAATCTGTAAATTCAGGAGATAATCATGCTTACTTTTATAATTTTCCCCATTTCATTATAGGGAACTTTCTTATCTTCAAACTCTGAAAAGGCTGCCTCAACTTTGATAATAATTTCGTCATGATTACTGCAGATATTCGGAAGTCCATAAGGAAAATAGAAAGTTGGAATGTTTATGGACAAGGGAGCACCAACAGTTTCTTTATTTGTAGACAATAGAGACTGTGGGGTGATTGTTGAATTTGAAGGAGTTAGAGATGGTGTCACTGTTTTTTTCTCTTGCTTATTTTGGACCTAAATTAACAACAAAAAAAAAAATTAACAAAAATTAACAAAAAATTAACAAAAAAGTAACAAAATTACTATTTTTATACAATGTGAACAAGGAACGTACAAAAATAGTCTTTCCAATGAACAAAACAATGTTATGATAAAAAAGCCAAGCTGTGTGTATACAGAACAGTCATCTCTCAGAAAAGTACAATATTAAAACATTTTGAAATTCTAGGTATAGACAATTCACCCTATATGATTAAATAATTCAGCTCTATATACTATATCTTGTAAATTTATTGTACTATTACTGTACATTTTTAAAAAGTTCTTAAGCATCTAATCAAAGCTGTCCAGGATAGAAGACAAGCTTTTAAGTTCCAAAATATAACTAAAAAATAGCCACTGGATATCACCAAGAAATTCATAAATGTATTTTGCTATCAGGAGCACTTCTTCCTCTTTACAGCTCCCTGCTACTTATGTCTTCATGGTGTATTTTGTCCATACCCTTGTTTTTTTTACTTTTCCACATAAGGGGTAGTGCAAGGGGCTAGTTTTCGTTGACATTTATTTTGAAGCATTTTTATACTTTTTATACTATTAAATCGTTTTTTTCACTGAATATTATTTGGGAACAACTTCAATCTCCTTAGCCACTTTACTTTTAATAGTCAGCATTTGTTCCCCCATACATTTGAAATGTAGTACAAAATGTGTATGCTACTATCAATGTATGAAATAAGGCATTTTATAGAAATGTACAGTACCGAGTGCCAGAAATGGGATGTCAAAGTATGAAACGCTTAATATTTCACACATTTCTTAGGAATTCTATGCAATGGCAAAAGGTAAACCGGCAAAGTATGAAAGACTATCGCTAAAATGCAATTCTAGCCTTCGTTGCAACAAATAGGTCAATGCTGTTTTTTTCTCTTACATTTTTCAGGAAGAAAGTCTTTTATTTTGCATTTTTTTCTTTCATTTTCATATATGTCTTTTCAATAAAGGGTTAGTGTTAAGGTCCTAAGTTCCTAACCTTAACCCTAATCCTTTTCATGACTCTTTTCATACTCTGCCTAAATAATTCTTATCATTCTGCACAATGTCTAGTATTATATATCATACCTAGGAAAAGTATACAGCATATTAAAATAATCATACTTTGCCTAAAAATGTCACACATTTAATAGGATTTCTTAGACATTCTATACAATGCCAGCTTGTCACACATTGCTGGTAACATATACAATAAATAGAAATTTTCAGGACCATTTCTTTTTAAAGGAAACAGAAGTCAATTTGTTACCATGCTCTATTATGGTAATAATATTTATTTATTTTAACATTTTCACCTTCAAGAAGAAAATGCCAAAAGAAAAAAATACCTGTTTCCTTTTATTTACCAACAAGATATTTATATACTAAGCTTGGAAGATCTATTTTTAAACCAATAGGTATTCGGTGCAAATAACCTTCTGAAAATAGAGAAGCCTAAGCGAAGAAACCATTCTAACCACTGATCTAAAACAGAGATACCAAATAAGAAGAAAAAATAAAGCACATTCAAACCTGGGCTTGCTGGAATGACTTCAACCTCTTCTTGAACCGGGATGGAAGAACAAAATCACAGCCTTTTGCAAGGAAAGCTAACTCTCCTCGTAAATCAGGGTCCCTTCGCAGAGATCTATCTTTGATCATCATTTTTGTTACTTCCTCAGAAAATTGTTCTTCCCAGCAAAGATGTAAAGTCCTTTTGAGGTATCACTTCTACTAGTTTCTTGATTTTTTTGTGTGAGAGGGGGTTGGGGTTCAAGAAGTTCTAGGTGAAACATACCTTGTCTTTTTATTCTCAGAAAGAATTGTCTATATCTCATCCCAAGGCCATTTTTTGACATTCGAAGAATCCCTGAGCATAAAGATCTCTGGATGCTTTTTACCAATTATTTATCAAGAAGTATAATCTACACCAGAATCTGTCCCTGCTGGCTATATGACAGTTAGACAATCTGTCCTTGGCTGGTAACAGAGCAGAGGTATTGTGGGAAGGGAGGCACCCACCACACTACTAGCAATGGTGCTAAAGTTAGACTTATTGCAGAGATAGCTAAATATATCACCTTCCAAGATACATATTTTATGATGTTCCATGGTGAAATTTTAGATACAAATTTAAATATCAATCTCAAATGAAATCAAAGCCATAATCTACAGATGCCACAATAAAAGCACAGACTTTTCTGATTAGACTATCATATAAAAAGATTGAAGTCTCTTTTAGTTTTTATGTTTCATGTGATTAAAAAAATACAACTTCCTTCTGTCTAAGAGACATTATATGGTAATTATCATGCTGTTAAATATTTTCCTTACATGTTTGTCAATAAGACAACAACACTTTAAAGTAGACCTCTTTCCTAAGATCAGCGCTTTTAAAAATGTGCTTTTTAAATTAGATCAAGAATGGAGCTACCAAAATCGGTACAGTACTTGAAATCCAGAGAATGTGTTTAATTTCATGTGGGAACAAAAAAGACCTGATTATGCAAATTGTCATCCTTGAAATCCTAAATATAAATGAAATCTTGATTTATCAAACCTATTGGAGGGAGAGTTAGACATATTTGGGCCTTTGAGGGAAAAGTATTAAAACCGATTTCAATTCTCATAAAAAACAGGTACTTTGGAACAATTTCATTTAAAAGTGGCAGCAACCCCTTCTTTTTTGGAAACTTGGATTGAAAATGGGATAATTAATAATTATTTAAACCAACTATTATGTAAAAACGGAAGTGAAATGAATATAAGCATGTTTATTCTTAAAGTGTCATACAAATCACTAAAGATTTACCTGTGCTTTTATTTTATTTTTAAATTTATTTAAGTTTATTGGCCTCCCAACTCCAGTGAATTCTGGATGGTTTTCACACATGACAAGCTATGTCTATTTTTGTATTGTGCACAAGAAACTTTGGACTTGTGGCAGATTTCCAATATTCTATAAAGAGGGAAAAATTCAATGACATGTAAATAATTTTCTGTTACAGTATTCCCATAGAACATTGTTTTTGTATTAATGGGTTCAAGCGTTAATGAAAAAAAATCCTGCAATCTTACCTTGATAACCTCTGGCATCTGTTGAATTAATGGTGAGACAGTTTTTTTCTTCACTGTATCTATGTAGCTCTGCTTGTCAACTGTAATGGAAGGCGTGGCTAAAGTTTCCTGAAGAATATGCATCACTTCTTTCTCTTTTGATAAGCTTCCTTTGCCCAATTGGAATTCTACTAGTTCTTGGGCAAAGTCTTCAATACTCTCCAAAATACGCAATAAAAGAGTTCTGTCATCTTCATCCATTTTATGACCATTGATTTCTACAAGTTTTGATAAGGAAGGAGGCATGCTTTTGTCTTCAGGAAAACAATCTTTGTCTTTGTTTTCAGTGGTTAAACCACTGCTTTTCAAATAGCTAGGATCACTCTGCTCAACATTAGTTTCTCTCAGTGTAATTTCCATTTTTTGTGAAAAATTCTCCAAATCCAACAAAAGTTTGTCTATCTCTTCTTGATCGTTTTTTCTAGGCTCTTCTTTAGGGATTTGAACATTATAGTTAAAGGTTTGATCAATGGAATCTGCTGAAATGAAGAGCTCACCCTTTGATAGAGGCTGTGCAACAGTCGGTGAAGTTTTAGTAAGTTCCAAAGAAGGATTTACCCATTCAGCTCGCTCCTGGTTGCTCTCTGAATTTCCCCATATTGTTTTACTCTGAACACTTGATAAACTTCCCCTTACTTTTTTTTCATCTGATTCTTCTACAATATAGAGAGATTCTGTGGGGAAAACGCAATCCGATGGATTTAGAAATTGTAACTGAGATAGTACATGAGAATCATTTCTAGAATCTATATTGTTCTGCAATGCATTTGAGGAAATATCTACACTGGGGATGTGAATAAGGTTGGTCGAGGAATTTGTATCATTATTTTCCTGAATTCTTTTTAAGTTAGAGGTAAATGACTGCTTTGCAACAGATGATGCAGAAGTTACAACATCTTCATATCTTGGTGGTTGCTCATTGCCAAATATTGGGGAGAAATGAGATTGCTCCAAAGCAGACAAACTACTAATCAGTTCTACGATGTCACCCGGGTGTCTAAATTCAAAAGGCAACTGTTTAAGGTAGGAAGAAAATCTTGTCATTAAATTCATATAGATTATTTCAGAATTGGCCAATGACTCACTATTATTTCCGCTACTGACATTACCTGAAGATTTCTTCTTAATGCATTGCTTTATTATATCTGTACACTTTTTCAAGTCCTCTGAGCATTTTAGCAAGATATCTAAGCACATCTTAATATCTCCACTGGAAGAACCATCCAGTTTGTGCTTTTCCAAAATTTGTGTTATAAAACTGCCATCAGAAAAAGTTTCTATAGGCAAAGGAAATATAGAACTCTCATTTCCCTTAACTGGGGTGCTGTTGACCTGCCATTTTTCTTCATGGGAACAATTATTTAGAATCCCGATAGGAGGGAACAAAGTTTCATCACTGCTGAAATGTCCACTAATCAAGTCAAAATCTAGTGATCTTCTACTGAATGGGTCTGACTTAACTTTTCTTCCTTTTCTATAGTTTGCTTGATTTGAAGAATTTCTTAGTTTTTCAAAGGAGAATTCTTTTATTTTCCCACTAGCAAGATTTATGGCTTCTTCAGTGATATCTTTCAGATTTCCACTGCTTTGAACAGAAGATCCTTTTTTGAGTTTTGGATTACTAGGAAGGAGTTGATGATAATCTTCATCCCCAGACAAAGCAATGGAATTTTCAGGCATCGAAAATCTGTGGGTCAAATCTGAATTTCTAAAATTAGGTGTAGAAACTTTAATTAGTTTTGCACAAACACTGTGGTGGGCCACTATGCACATAACTCCTTGTTTGAATACTTGACATGTCCCTGTGCAATAATGCACAACATTATGAAGCTGATTATCTATTATAACACTGCTGTAACAATTCACTGTTGTTATTACTCTTTTATAGTTTGCTGCCATGATATGAATTTCAATTTGTTGCACTCTGAGAGCAATGACTTTACCCCCCTTTAAATCTCATATTCATACATCTATAAGCACTGACGTAGTTTTCTTAAAAATATACTAAAATCAATACATTCTCAATAATCTGTATTAAAAGATTGCAGACAATAATCTATAAAAAATTAAAATGTCCAGCATAATGTATAATTGTTTTTTAGATAATAGTAAATATTCCCACACTAAAAATGTTGTACTGATAAACAATTGTTTTCTTCTTTCAATAGCAATGTTAGAAGTAGAAATGAAGAATGTTAATCCACTGTTGAGAAAATGAGGAAAAAAATTTCTCTTGAATGTTTTGTCCAAACTTCCTCTGAACTTCAGATCTCATGGAGAAAATAAAAGCATGTAACATGGTCAAACCATCCACCTCCTTCATTGGTGTTGAAGATGCCTGCAATAACAAATGTTGTTAGTAAACGATTTCGAGCCTAACTTTAGATATTGCTACTAACTTCAGAGAAGCATTGCAGAAGAAGGAGTGGCAAAACCTAGGGACAGAGTCAAAATAAGAATCAGCCTAAAGTCTCTACCTAGGCACAAATGGACCAAACCCAACCCCTCTTGAATTCTGTTGATCCTTATCTTAAGTGCCAAGATAATACTATCAGTTTATATCTTAATGGGAGAAATACATGCTTAAGAAATCTTCCATGAACTGTATAAGTATATGGAAAAAAGATTTTAAAAATCTATTTCCTTTCTAATACAGATTTAATGGTTAAAAACTACACTACTTGCTATCTTCTCAGACAACTTGTGCAAACTTCATAAGATATGATAATAATCATTAAACCATGTGAACTACACATAAATAATAGATAAAACAAATTAATCGAATACACTTAGTTTAATAGCTAATAACTATTGCTATTAAGCACATAGTTGAATTAATTTTAGTTTATTCACTAAATGAAAACGTGAAAATTATTCTTGTCTAAGATCCAGATTTCATTTCCCAGTCATGACAACTATTACTACCAACATCTACAGACAACCTGCTGCCTCAATGATTCAAGAGGTAGAGAGAGTAATTTCTTGACACTCCTTATCTTTTTGAGATGGAGGCTGAAAATGGCCTCTGAGTCTTCTGAGCACAGATAGGCAGACTGCTCCACTTACCTTATACCCAAAAGTATAGTCCAGAAATGTCAAACACGCCCGCGGGCCGGATTTGGCCCACAAAGTGGTTTCATGTGACCCGCGAAGCCATCCTGGAAACAGCGAGGGAATGGCCCCCGCTGCCTTGGCCCCAGCACAGGCTGGCCAGAAGCCAATGTACAATTTTGTGGTGGCCATCCATGCTGGAATGCATTCAGTCTCAGCTCCACAAGGCCATTCTGGAAACAGCGAGGGATCAGCCCCTGCTGCGTCAGCCCCACCCCCTGGGCGCACATTAGGGAGGTGTCACCCTTTGTGAGGAAGGAAGAAATGCACCATCGCCTGGAAGTGGCCAGCAAATGGCCCTCACCTACTTCACATATCCGGCTTGGTGGGCTGCAGGGGAGGGGACGCTGCGAGTACCGTGAGAGTCGACGTTACCTGCGTAATGCTGCTCAGCCTGCCCAGTTCTGGCAGGCAGCGGGGTGCTCTCACAGGCCAAGAGGTTGGCCCGGGCAGCACAAAGCTGGCAAGAAGTGCAACACCGCCCAGCCCCCAGCCTGCCTGATTCAAGTATTATGATTATTTATTTGTTTAACTTATATTCCATCTTTATTATTTTTACAAATATTTTATAAAGGAACTCAAGTTCCTCCTCCAATTTTCTACACAACAACCCAGTGAGGTGAGAGAGAGTGACTGGCCCAAAGTCACCCAGCTGGCTTTCATGATAAGGCAGAACTTGAACTCATGGTCTTCTGGTTTCTAGGCTGCCAATTAAACACATTATTCTAATAATACAGCAATGTTAATCTTACATTTTAATTTACAGATTTTATTCTAATTCATTCCCAAAATACTGGTTCTATGAACTTTTTTTCTTTTTACAGATAAAGAACTGAAAGTTAATAAATAGCTTGCCCAAGCATCTAACTAAATAGCTATACAACTTGAACTTTCTCTCCAAGATCCAAATCCGATTTAGTGTGCCACAAAACTATGTGTTTACAGTATTCTAACATAATTTTTAGATTATCTTTATCCGATAGACTTCATGTTCCTAGTCCTTTTTTATCTCATTTCTCACTATTCATGCATTAGATGTATTCTTACTCATTCGAATAATCTATGTTAAGTAATAGTTGCACACATTTTTAGAAAAGTATCCTTAATGTCATCATGTTTATTTTGAAAGAAAAGCAGCCAATCAGCAGCTGTTGCTGGTAAGGCAACTTGATTAAACACAAACAATAAATAGTAACATATCCTGTCTCTACAATGCCACCAGATACTGAAAAGTAGCAAAGGAGACACTGAGCTCTGGGTACAGAAAGCAAATATGCAGCGGCTATTTTTTCCTTGTACTTATTTTCTGGAGACAGATAGGACGACTGTGCTCATAGATGAAGCATCTGTAACTTCATTCATTTTTTCTTTCTCCCTGAACCTAGGATCCCCACCATAGGCTCTAAAGGTGCTATCATAGCCGTGAAACCATTTTCAGGATCCTAATAGTTTCTTCTTTCTGTAAATGAAAGGACAATGTAGTTGCTCTTTCTGTTATGTTATAGTTTTGAAAGACTAGTTAACATGACCCTACAGAATCTCCTTTTGTTGTACATCTTGCCTTAAAGTCTTGACTTTATTTTTCAGTAAGTTCTCTAGAGGGCAATGCTTCCTAAAGTCTAGCAGATCCGCAGATTGTTTCAATTGCAGTATGATTCATTGGCTTAAGGATGAAGCCGAAATGATTACAGATTTCCATCCAAAATGAAGGGAAATGGTATATAACAACAGCAAGAGCTAGCATATATTCTTTATGGCTGAGATCAAACATATCAAGCTATGAGCTGCTTAGTACTAAATAAAACATAATTGGCTGATTTATACTACATTATAAATCATGAGTTACAAAAAACATTAACTGGGTTCACAGGACATCCTAAGGTAAAACATGCAAATAATCAAAGTGCGCTTTTGGCGTGTATGTATGTATGTATGTATGTATGTGTATGTATGTATGTATGTATATGTATATGTATATATATATTATAAATAAAATACGATCACCAGGAGAATTTAGGTATAAAAAATACTTTACTAAAAACCGCCAAGCTTTCTTTGGGGACTCCCAACATCGTCAGGGCTAAAAGCCAGTAAACAACGATGACTCAAATAGGTTTGGCTGACATTTGCACCCGGCTCTTGCACCGTGTCACTGGACCTGGCCGGTCAATTTGTGTTCCAGATGTTTCTTTGTTACTCTCTTTGCGTTTCCTTCTATCGTTCTTCCGGATCACTCCTCCTACTGCTTCATTACTAACACTCAAATCTGTTAACACCCTTTCATCCTCCTTTCTTCTAATGGCATTAGCTCTCACCTCATTCCCCTTCCTGTTGTCTACTTCGGGGGTATTTAATTCTCCTCTACCACTGCTATAAATCTCACTGGGGTTCCAGTCATTTCTTCGTGTTTCTTTTGACTGCGAATCAATGTTTTCCCTCTGTTCTATGTCCTCTTTTCTTTCCTCCTTATTCCTCCTCCTTAATAAGGTGAGGTGAGAGCTAATGCCATTAGAAGAAAGGAGGATGAAAGGGTGTTAACAGATTTGAGTGTTAGTAATGAAGCAGTAGGAGGAGTGATTGCTAACAAAGAATTAAGGGGGGCTGTGATAGCTATTTCCAGCCCCCCTTAATTTACATATATATATATATCATATATATATATCATATATATATAATATATATATGATATATATATTATATATATATATATATATAATTATATATAATATGATATATGATATATAATTATATATATATATATATAATATATATCATATATCATACATATATATATATATATATATATATATATATATATATATATATATATATTTCAGCACGAAGCTGAAAACACCAGCCTGAAGATGACGAATGGGACTTCGTCGAAACGTCGCCAAGACACTTCCAATTTTACGCGGGAGAAAACCTGAACAACCAAAGACCTACATACAAATACCCGCGAAAACCTCAGAAAACAAACAAACATACATACATACATACATACATACATACATATATATACACTAAATTTTTGGATTGCTAACATAGAATTAAGGGGGGCTGGGATAACTATTTCCAGCTGATTAGCTCTCATCAGCCAGCCATACCTTTATGAGATTCGAACCTGGGCTGCTTGCACGTTAGGCAGCTATGTTGATCCTAAGCCACAGTCTCTTTCTCACTTTATAAAGCTGTATCAAGGAGGGAAGAGGAGGAGATCTATCTTAAGTGTTTTTTTGATGCACCCTGTCGGCCCAAATTTTTGTTAGCAATCCAAAAATTTAGGAAATACAAAGTTGCAGTAGCGACTGCCTGCCTGTGGACGGCTCTAGATTGAGCTGACACAGGCAAAAGATTTCTTCCTCCCTTATGGCAGGACACACTGGAGCTGCTTAAATCAAAATCAAGCCATACTTTTTGAAATTCATTTGTTTTATGTAATCACTGTTATGATTATCATGACATTACACATAATATACTGTGGTTAAACAAAAACTTCCAATAATATTCTTATAACCACAGATGAATTTTATTGTAATCATGTTGAATTATGGTTTTAATACATCTAAATTCTAATAATTTATATATCAGATGCTCATTTTCCAAGTGTTAAGAGAAAATATATGCATAATTGTATATTCATGATTCAATTAAAGATGTATATCACTTTTACTTTAAATTTGTAATATATAGCAAAAGTATCTTAATTTGTATCTTTTAAAACACTGGGGAATTCTCATCAGATGTGAAGGTGAATACTATGCAGACAGGAAAAATACATTACCATCAGATGTATAAAAGGGCAGACAAGATTTAGACAAGATTTAGAAATCAAATCAAAAATACTGAAACTGCCATGTGTGGAAAGTTAAGTAAAGAAAGATTAATACTATATTAATACATTAACAAAAATAGTAACTGAGCATATTTCATTAGTAATACCTCAAATACATAGTTTTTGTTGAAGTATAAAAAGCAAGTAACAAAAATGATTAAAACAAAGCTAAGAATTTAAAGGCACAATAGCAAAAAAAGTCTGTATTACTTACATGACACCCTGAAGAACTTTTTGAGGATCAGGATCAAATAATCTGTCAACATAATGGCGACTACTGGCTGTAATGTCCTGTAAGCAAACACATTTGAGGTCCATCAGCAATATACATTTTTACAAATTCAAGAAAGCAAGACTATGAAGCAGTAAAACTTATTTGTAACAAATCTGAACCCTAAGGAAATATTTTGGAGTATGTTAATAAAATTGGACTCCCATTTATTCAAAATTTCATACTAATTTAAGGAGCTTCTCTCCTTCCTTATTTAGCCAGTTATAACAAAATCCCCCAATAAATATAGAAATACTTGTAGAGAGGTTTATGGGAAAATCAGAAAGAATAGTTAAGCAAGCTGGTCTCTGTGTTTTGACAGGAGTTATTTTTAAACTCATTTTATTAGAAAAGGGACAAAAATTTCTTATCAGAGAAATACCAAAATACAATATAACAGTAATGCAAAAATAATTGTTTCAATTCAAAAATAAGCATAGGAATTTTGAATTGAATGGATATCAGCAATAACAAAATAAGAAAAGAAACAGGAATGGACTGAAATTAATTTCGGTATGATTAGTAATAAAGATTTCCAATCTCCAACAGTTGAACAATAGATGAACAATTAATCATCTACCCATTCTTAATTATATAGCAGTATTAAAAAGAAGAATTTTGGAAATGATAGCTAACAGATTTTTGAAAGATTGAAAGTTCTATTCACTTGTGATACAATTCAAAATGAACTTAATCTCGTGTAGGGATTAGATTTTACGTTATACAGAATTTCACTATCGATAAATCATTCCTCTCTTCTGCTTCCTCTTGCACTCATCCAAATTTCTCAAACTTAAAAGTGGGAGGGCCATGGAGGAAGAGAAAGTAATGTCTTCATATTGATAGCAAAAGTCCTTATCAGCAAAATAAGGCTTTTATAATACTGAGACAAATTTGACGAAGTAATAACAAAATAATTTTAGGTATGCATGGATAAAGCACTACAAGTGCCTATATTCTCAAAAAGACTGTAAGAAATAAATCTTTATTCGTTCAAAATATAAAAATTACACAGGGATCAAGCACAAAGCACAACTGCTTGTCAGAAAGTCGCAAAAGGTGATCACATGAGCTTGGGAAACAGCAACAATAAAAAAATAGATCATATGATCATGGAAATGCTATAACGGTGATAACTGTGAAAAATACTCATGTCATTTTTTTTCAGTGCCTCTGTAACATTGAACAATCACTAAATGAATGGTTGTTAAGTCGAGGACTATCTGTAATAAGTACAGGTAGTCCTCAACTTACACCCATTCATTTAGTGATTGTTCAAAGTTTCAATGGCACTGAAAAAAAATGACTTATGACTGTTTTCCAGTTACGACTGTTGCAGCCGCCCCATGATCGTGTGATCAAATTTCAGATGCCTGGCAACGGGTTCATATTTATGATTGTTGCTGTGTCCCAAGGTCATGTGATCACCTTTTGCGACCTTCTGAAAAGCAAGATCAACGGGAAGCCGCAGTCACTTAACAACTGGGTTATTAGCTTATCAACTGCGGTGATTCACTTAACAACTGTGGCAAGAAATGTCGTACAGTGGGGCAAAACTCACTTCATAAATGTCTCAGTTAACAAAAATGTTGGGCACAATTGTGGTTGTAAGTTGAGAACTACCTGTATTGCTTTCCATCACATCAGGTGGTAGCGTTTGCCTATAGTTAAGCAGATTTGCCTCGATTAGTACAGTATTTGAATAAGAGATCTATACCGAATACCAGAATGGGAAACTAAAAAAAAAAAAAAATCTTTTGGGAAGAAGGCAATGGCAACCTACTTCCACAATACTTCCAAGAAAACAATATTGGCTATAATTAACAAGAAAAAAATATTAGTTTTAAACTTGTATGCCACCCGGCTTGCAACAACTCTGTATGCAGCGGCTGACAAAAAAGGCAACTGCATAAGGATGATCAAAAAATAATAAAAAAGCCGACAATGTAATGTTTAATACAAATCCCTATGTCTGCACCTAAAGTATTGGGTACAAATCTGGCTTATGCATAGTTTATAATTCAAGGATATCATAGGTCTGGACAAAGTGTAGGAAGGCAACCAAACTGATGCAGCTAAAAATCTCCTGTAAAAAAATAGTCTTGAAAAAATGCAGGTGAACGATACTTGATTATACAAAATCATGGCACAGAGTGAGCAGAGAAATATTTTCTTCTTTGCCTCTCTATGGCTTATATCTTTAATAAAAATGTCATTGACATGGGTACAGGAGCAAGGAAGGTGAAAGTGACATCAGTCACATCCCAATGCTACTATACAAATTATGTACTAAATGCCATTCACCTCGTGATACAATTAACAGGTTACACAATGTGCATAATTTGTGTGAAGTCATAATGTATATTACACTATTGTGGTTCCTTCTAGGCATCTAGGAAGCTGATATACTTATTAAAAACTATCCCAGCAGTTGAAGTGTTTTTTTCTCATGAAACACAGAAATGTATTAACATCATTTTTTGAATCCTTAAGAAGGAAGTCTTTCCACAAAGTAGTAAAACACAGTTTGTCTCCCAATATTCATGACCAAGTATTTTCGGTAAGCAGTAATGAAAAATTGTGTTTGAGCATTTTGGGGGAAAATCACTATGCTTTTGTACCACGCTCTAATTACTCAATAAAGCCAACTAGAAGAGCTGACATAAGCAACACAGGCAAAGAAAAGTCTATTTTTACAAGCACGGTTGTAAATCTCTAGATCTAGGCCAGGGTAGGCAACCTTGGCTCTTTTATGACTTGTGGACTTCAATTCCCAGAATCCCTGAGTCAGCATGGCTGGTTCAGGAATTCTGGGTATTGAAGTCCACAAGTCATAAAGGAGCCAAGGTTGCCTTGATTTACCCGATTTCTAGGCAAATAATGCCTAGAAAAATTGTGCTTTCAAGGAGGTCTATCCATATTGATTTTTATAAGTAGCAGTACAGTGCATATTTCATTCACATGTAACACTAGCCAAATATGCTTAGACTTGCTACTGGTCCACTTGAACAAAGACATGAATTTTCTTCATTAACGTTATTCTTAGAATTACATTGATTTACAGAAAATTCAATACTTGTTTTCAAGGAAATCTGACCTTCATTTATTACAACTTGCATGCCACTTCATTTCTAGAGACTCCAGAGACTTACAATATGACATTCGGAAGATAAAAAATATTAGTACAACTATAACTGATCACCAACACATTACTATTCATGGCAGCATCTTGTCTTCAAATGACTTTTCAGGATTCCTGAAAATTATCTCCGCTGCCCGATAAAAATACATTTTTATATATAAATGTGCCTACTGTAGTAACCAAAAGTGTTTATGGGGAGCTGTTGAAGAAATTACGCTGTATCAACTGCTGATATTACAGATTTGAAATATTTTTTTAATAGTAAAGCTAATATTTTAGCACTTAATGCTATTATTGAGAGATTTAAGACAGCTTCTTTTAGGGATGTTGCCAAATCCATATTCTGAGATAAATCAAATTTTAAAAAATATCATTCTGCTTCTATAGGTAGAAATATAAAATGATGCAAATATTATTTAAATAATGATTTCAATATGGGTTGTATACTCTGATTCAATAGATGATCGAGAATAACAAAACCCATTCCTGAAATCAGTTCATTAAATGAAGCGTTCCTTACAGTTCCTTATTTAGAAACTTGACTACAAATTTTAGCACAAAAAACAATTCTATAATCACACTCACACAAACATATATACATAAAACACTATGGTTTGCTGTAGAAATATTGTCCACAGTACAAACTAACTTTTTTTTCTTTCTTCAATGGATATTAGGTATAAAATCAATGTACAGACCCAAGACTTCCATACTTGCTTATAACCCTTTCAAAGTATTAGAACATATCCAATTTACAAGATAATAATTTTTGCAAAGACAGAATCCTAACAAAATCATGTTTAAAGCAACACATTCCTTAAATGTCCTTTTCACAGATACAGCCATATTTATAAGCGATACTGAAGTAGCAGCTATAGCAGCATAATCATCTCCTCCCCACCCAACCTACAGCACTACAGAAAGTGGAAATCAACACAGACTGGCTAAACAAGACTTATGTGACTACTTGTATCAGAATGGAATATACTTTTTAGTGCATATACTCTGTGTGTGAGAAAGTGTGTGTGTTTTGTGTTTGTGTCTATGCTAAAAAACTAACTCAATGCAACTTCACTGTAACCTGCTACAAAAAAAAAAGAATTATACTGTACAATTAACAGCTGAGCAAAATAGGAAACTACAGCAGGTGGAACTTGCAATTGCTGTAACTTTTTTTCTAGACATCTGCAGAATGCCCCTCTAATTGTGTTCAGATTCAACATTAGGAAATAAATCAGGCATTTAAAAAATTAAATCTAAAATTAATCAATGACTTATACATGTTTTTCCCCCTCTCATAAAAATAGTCAGAACTTGTATGGAGGAAAAAATCTGGCAGATTTTTTTACTTCATAAAACTAATAAAGAGGGAAAATGCAATAAGAAAATCATTCACTTCCCTCAAAGTCTTTGCATACAAGACGAGAGCTACTGTTCTTATCCCTGTGACATCTTAATCCAGAAAATAATGCAGCCGGGGTTAGCAATTGTATTTCCTTCACAGGAAAAGTCCAGCAGTTGGACATCTCCAAATCTCCCCAGCCCACCTCAAAGCGAAAAGAAGCAGCTAAGGCTCTCCTACTCCCTATGCTTGGCTGCAAGAAAGGGGGGAAAAAAACAAGACAAGCTTCCAGGAGGGCGGGACTCGCTAGGAACAACCTAAGAGGTAGTCCTTCACTCGCCCAGCCGGACCCAGAGGACCAACCCTGCTTCCCCCAGCCAAGATAAGAGAGAAAAAGACCGCCAAACGGAAGCCCTAATGCGGCTGACTGCCTTCACCAGGAAGCAGAAGTACTAGCCTTGCCGTTGCTGGTGTGGGCCTGCACTTACCGACAGGATACTCATGCGGAGTGGTGTCTCCAGCACACACGCCATCTTGACGCACGCCAATGGCACCAGCCGTTCAACCCCACGCAAGAGCTGGTGCCAGGGCTGCTGCGATGACTACTAGTGCTGCTCTTGCTGCTGCCGCCTCCTCCTCCAAGCGCACCCACATCGCCGGGGGAGAAGGAAGGAAGGAAGGAAGGAAACAACTACATCCCGTCAGTTGAAATAGCGAATAGGCAGGAAAAAAAACAGTTTCTTCGGCAGCGAGCAACACGCATGCGTGGCGAGGACTTGTTGAAGGGAGGGAGGGATTATTTCCGGAAGTAGGTAATTTACTCCCACCTGCTTACAGAATATCAGGATGAAAAGAAACGTGAAACGGGATGCGCCAACTCGACTTTCGGAAGTTTGGGCGTTGAGCCAATGGGGGGGGGGAGAGAAATAGAGGCCGGCGTGCGCATGCGTAACGTTAAAACCACCTGTCAGAATTTGTCCTTGGCAAAGTGAATGAGAGAAACAGATGAGGAATTCGTGTGCTTAATGCTGGTACGCCATCTATTGACAATTGTGTTTTAGAAACCTATGCTTCTAACGCGAATGAGGAAAAATTGCACATCATTGATGTGTAGTTATCTTAAAGTATTTAGGAAACAAAGTTTGGCATTGTGCTGAGATGAAACGCTACAATAGAAGGCTGAATGGATCAAACCCCATTTTCTAAATATGTGCTAAAATAAAGAGAATGCCCCACAGTGGCAGTGGTTGCTCAATACACTACGCTAGAAACCTTTACAATTTAAGGGCTTTCTACAGCTCTCTACCCATCATAATCAGAAAACTATATGCCCTTCAAAGTTGACAGATCAAGAAACAGACTCCAGAAAATTATTAGAACTATATTATAATGAGATAGACTGTCATAACAGACTTTTGCAAGCCCGACTGCATTTTTCCTTTTCTCTCTCTTAATACCTAGAGAGGCAGGAAGGAGTAAGTCTCTTCATGACACTTTCCCTGTTCCTCAGGCTTAACATATTTTTTGAATATTTTGTTATAGTTGTCTCTAGATTCTGCAAAAATCATTTATGTGGCTCCCTATAGTTGTCCCTTGTGCTGATCTCTATTCTGCCTTTATCCTGGTTTGTGATAAATAGTGGTGCTCTGATGTGTTATTTGCAGGGCATGTATGGTAGAAAACTCAAAAACACCAAAAAGGGAAAGTATTTAAACAATTGTTATATTTTCCAAATCTGTGAGTCTGTACTCGTCTGCTGTATCAAATTACTCAGCTTCGACCCTCCTCCTTCCTCCACCCTCTGGCTGCTGGAGGCTCTGCTTCTTTTCCCGTCCCTTCCAGACTAAAAAAGGGGCACCCACGGAGCACACTTCAGTGGAGATGGGGAGGGGAGGAGGTGGTGGTATTTCCCTGCCAAGAGGGCCGAGGCTCATTTTAGCGCCAGCCCAAGCAGTTCCGGCCTGAGATTGTTTTTCTGCGTACCTTCAAGAGAAGCCCGAATTTGATCTTTGCTTGTCCTGCCTGGGAAGAGCCACAGACAATCCCTTCTGAGGTTCCTGGAATTTAGGAAGGGAATTCTTGTGGAAGTTCAGTTTGAGGAGGAGGTTTAAAACAAAAGACTAACACCCTTGACATTAACAGAAATGTTGATCTCATCTTTGGCCTTGCTATCTAGCAGTGGAAAGTATTAAAAGTTCTTGAAAGATTAAGAAACCAGAAAGGAAAAAGAAAATAATGTCTTTATTCTCCACTTTTAAACCACATGATTGTGACGCATTGAGCCAAGATTATGAACCCTTAGGTCTGGCATTTCTGAAATGCCAGCTGCAGTTTCCTGTCTGATTCCAAAGCTCCAGGGCTCTTCCCTTACAAAGTCCTTACGTCTCACTCTGTTTGGCTCATAGTTACTCCTACCGCACCCATGTTGTGCATTCATCAGCTTCATCCCCACAGGCTGAAGTTGGCTCTAGTTCTTTATTCCATTCAACAAAGCCATATATATTGAGTAAAGAATGTGAATAATAATATATGCAGAAATAAGATTTGGACTGGTCCATGTAATACATCCAGGCTGTCTTTTGGAGATTTCTTTATAACTTGCCAGGATAGTTTTATCAAAAGTGCTCAAATAAATTGCTAGGATGAAACCAATTATTTGGAAGGATTTTGAGGGGCAGGTATTTAACACCCCCAAAACTTAAAACCACCATAAGACCATGTCACGGTTTCCTTTGATTGTTAGAAGCAAAGAAACAGTATGTCAGAGAGAAAAACTGTAAATTAGGGACTCTTCCATTTTATCCAGTTCACTATTTTGTATTAATTGAGGACCTTTCTGAACTGCTAAATGAAAGTGCTATCTACATATCTTTGAATCTATTATTCTTTGAATCTACAGAATAGTAGATTATTCTTCTTCTATTGCCTCCTTCTCACTATTGAATAATGCTATCCTGATTTTGCGTGTCCAGCACATGATAGTGATTGGTTGGTTCCTCCTGTTTTTGTTATCTTTCATCTTTTGTGTCCAGCTCTTTAGGGATATGAGCAGAATGACAGTAGTTAGGCTAATGAGGGATCTCTGTTGTTGACCCGTTTTCCAAAAAAAAAGTCCAGTGCAATTTGTTTTCCAGTAAGATATAGTAAGTACATTCCCCAATAACCATCAGTCTTCTTAAGAAAGTCCAGTTCATTACTTTCAATTCTTTTAACTCCAGATCTGTAGAATTCATATCTCGTTCAGCTTTCTCCAGTGAACCAGCAGTTTCCAAACCAAAGTCCTTCTCCTTTAAATCAGCCAACAGCAATTTAGATTCCAATCCATCCAATTGTGAGCTTGATTTGGCTACAATTGCTTGAATGTTCTCTTTAGGTTGATTTAAAACTCTCGTTATTTTATCAAACGTTTAATCAAACTTTTCAGTGTGAAGTTGTAGGTTTAAAAGCATTCTTTTTTCAAAGACTTCCCACAGGGCTTTATCTTTAAGTTAGTACTTGTTTGTATTTTTAATATAGTCCTGTAACTGGGCATTCACAACCAGATATAAACAGTTCCTTTCCAGATAGGGGAGTTACCGATTTCCATACTGCAAAAGTGAAAGTAATTCAGAACAGCAGAAACAGTGAAAAAACATTAAAGACTTCACATTAAAATCCATTAAGTTAAAGTAAATCAGCCTTAAACCAGTCAATTAACTTTTAAAGAAAAAGCAAGATAAAAAAGAAAATTCAAACTGTGCAGCTAAAACTGAAGTGTGCTTAAAGAAACTGAATAACTGAGAGGAAAGATGGGGATTTGACTCTGACTGCTCCTAGGGGAATTGCAGTCCTCAAGATTCTGCTTCTCAGGAGAGTTCACAGTCTGAGTGTTGTCTGTTGCTAGCTACTCCCATTCAGATTTAGGGAGCCGGCTGCCAAAGAACTCATTTTGGCAGCAAAATCTGCTATTTGTCAACAAAGAAACAAATTTCCCTGCTGCTTAGCATACCATCTTGGGGGAAGTCCAAAATCAAAATTTTTCTTGTTGGGTAGTCTGCTATGAGATTATTATATGTGTAAAAATGGAAAGATTCTGCAATATCTATAGTGGAGGAATGGTTGGCGAAGATGACAGAACTAGCAGAGATAGCAACATTCTTTTTTTTTTCTTAGAGAAAGACCAATGACTACATTCATTAGTGACTGGAAACCTCTTAGGTACTTTTTGCTGAAAGAAAAGAAAAAATGAACTGGCACTTTATGGATTTGATTGTTATTACTGGAAATCATATAATACGGAAAGAAGGGAAATATGATATAACTTTGGAGAAAAAAGATAAAAATATTTATAAAAGCATTTATAACTGCTGTTATAAGATCAGAAGCCACTTCATTATAACTTTTTCTTTTCCTTCTATTTCTATTCTATTTCTTTTTCTTTCTTCTACACTTAAATTCTTTATTCTTACTTTCAACTCAATATTTTTAATGTTTTTAATCTGTTGAAAACTTATTTAATAAAAGTTATTTTAAAAAAGCGTTTTATCCCACCTCAAAGCCAAACTTTGTTTCTAAATTTTTCCTCATTCGCGTTAGAAGCATAGGTTTCTAAAACACAATTGTCAATAGATGGCGTACCAGCATTAAGCACACGAATTCCTTATCTGTTTCTCTCATTCACTTTGCCAAGGACAAATTCTGACAGGTGGTTTTACCGTTACGCATGCGCACGTCGGCCTCTATTTCTCTCCCCCCCCCCCATTGGCTCAACGCCCAAACTTCCGAAAGTCGAGTTGGCGCATCCCGTTTCACGTTTCTTTTCATCCTGATATTCTGTAAGCAGGTGGGAGTAAATTACCTACTTCCGGAAATAATCCCTCCCTCCCTTCAACAAGTCCTCGCCACGCATGCGTGTTGCTCGCTGCCGAAGAAACTGTTTTTTTTCCTGCCTATTCGCTATTTCAACTGACGGGATGTAGTTGTTTCCTTCCTTCCTTCCTTCCTTCTCCCCCGGCGATGTGGGTGCGCTTGGAGGAGGAGGCGGCAGCAGCAAGAGCAGCACTAGTAGTCATCGCAGCAGCCCTGGCACCAGCTCTTGCGTGGGGTTGAACGGCTGGTGCCATTGGCGTGCGTCAAGATGGCGTGTGTGCTGGAGACACCACTCCGCATGAGTATCCTGTCGGTAAGTGCAGGCCCACACCAGCAACGGCAAGGCTAGTACTTCTGCTTCCTGGTGAAGGCAGTCAGCCGCATTAGGGCTTCCGTTTGGCGGTCTTTTTCTCTCTTATCTTGGCTGGGGGAAGCAGGGTTGGTCCTCTGGGTCCGGCTGGGCGAGTGAAGGACTACCTCTTAGGTTGTTCCTAGCGAGTCCCGCCCTCCTGGAAGCTTGTCTTGTTTTTTTCCCCCCTTTCTTGCAGCCAAGCATAGGGAGTAGGAGAGCCTTAGCTGCTTCTTTTCGCTTTGAGGTGGGCTGGGGAGATTTGGAGATGTCCAACTGCTGGACTTTTCCTGTGAAGGAAATACAATTGCTAACCCCGGCTGCATTATTTTCTGGATTAAGATGTCACAGGGATAAGAACAGTAGCTCTCGTCTTGTATGCAAAGACTTTGAGGGAAGTGAATGATTTTCTTATTGCATTTTCCCTCTTTATTAGTTTTATGAAGTAAAAAAATCTGCCAGATTTTTTCCTCCATACAAGTTCTGACTATTTTTATGAGAGGGGGAAAAACATGTATAAGTCATTGATTAATTTTAGATTTAATTTTTTAAATGCCTGATTTATTTCCTAATGTTGAATCTGAACACAATTAGAGGGGCATTCTGCAGATGTCTAGAAAAAAAGTTACAGCAATTGCAAGTTCCACCTGCTGTAGTTTCCTATTTTGCTCAGCTGTTAATTGTACAGTATAATTCTTTTTTTTTTGTAG